TCATTAGTTCAGGTAGTGTTTTCTTCACGCTATTGGTTCCCCTACATTTTGAAAGAGGAGGTTTAAAAAAACAGAAAAAATGCACTGTTTTAACAGGTTTGGAAAGCCCAGAAGGGATTGCGATCGACCACTTGGGTCGAACAATGTTCTGGACGGATTCCGCTAAGGATCACATCGAGGTGGCGTCTCTGGACGGGTCTAACCGACGTGTCCTCATAAACACCGACCTCGTCAACCCACGAGCCATCATCGCTGACCCTTCCAACGGGTGCGTTACGATTTAACAGCCTGTTTATTGAACATAGTTTGAGTTAAACAGTACTCTCGGTGAAAATCTGCGATGCTCATTTACTTTAAAGAGCAGGTAACAGTCACAAACAGATTGATATTCAGTGTTGCTGAACATCACAGCAGACTCACTCTTCACCTGTCCTCCAACAGTAACCTATACTGGGCTGACTGGAACCGTAAAGCCCCCAAGATTGAGACATCTTACATGGATGGATCCAACAGACGGGTGCTGGTTAGAGACAATCTAGGCCTGCCAAACGGCTTGACTTACGACCCTCACAGCTCACAGCTTTGCTGGGCAGACGCAGGTAGATTTCAGACGGATGACTCATCTGTGAAACGGTGTCTGCTGTGTGCAAGCAGCACTAATTACAGTCTCTCGCCTGCAGGCACGCATAAAATGGAGTGCATGGATCCAGGTCGGGGTAGTCGCAGTACGGTTTTGGAGAGGATCCAGTATCCTTTTGGAATGACAGCTTTCGGGAAAAACATCTACTACACCGACTGGCAAAGGTTTGATTTTTATTTTAAGAATGTTTTTTCAAACTCTGCCTTTTTAAATCATGAAAAAAAATATATATATATTTCTTACAGCTGGAGTTTGTTTATAAATGAGACCCACTGGTGTTGTAGCACCCAAGACACAGGGTTTTTACTTTTACCTGTGATTCAATGTGTCAAGGCAGAGGAAAGAGAGGGAAGGTTAAAGGTCAAAAAGCTGCCCACACTCAACCCCCTTTACATTCTCTGTGGCAGGGCTCAGACGCTCCCACACTCGAAATTGTGGAGCTTCCTCCACATGTGTCCGGGTCTGTAAGTTATTTATTCCTGAGCGACTGCAGAAAAAAAAGGGGGAGGGCTTTGTGTGTGTGTGCATGTGTGAGTATGTGTGTGTGTTAGTGTGCACATGAGGTGAGGAGGAGTCCTAAAAAGTGACAGCTGCTTGCAATTTCTCAGCCCCAGACGTCTGCGAGTGACCTCCACAGGGCCTCCCTGTGATCTCGCCAGGGCCGCAGAAAGGTTGAGAGGAGGAGGTGTGGGTGGTGCACACTTAAACAGTTTACAACAAACTATGTCATGTTGTGGCTAAGAAACCTACCCTCATCCCCCTCTTTGGCCTTACTCAGTCTCGACAGACTTTGTAGGAAACATAAGGAGGCCGGACGGATGATTGCGCAAGCTCAGATAGTCCTGGATTTCTGAACTCCTGTGCTGACTGTGTTTGCAACAGGGATGCTGTGATTGCAGTGGACCGCTATGCCAGCAGGGAGTCAGATGAGTTCCAGCCTCAGAAGCGGACCAGGTTATACGGGATCGCCACAGCCTATGCCCAGTGTCCTGCAGGTAGGAAGTTGTGATGGCACATTCCCCTTCAATTCCCCCTCTTCACATGCTCAAAGCGAATCTTTGCACGGTATCTAACCCTGATGTTCAGCTCCACTTTAAAGCCGCATGCAGAAACTGCTTGACCCTTGTATATTTGGGGGCTACCTTTGAGGCCAACCTTATTATGCTTTCCTTTTCCTTTTTGGGACCAGGCTGACCTAGTTGTGACCTCTGCAGGCTCTCTAAAGAATCCTTTAGAGCACTTTGCAAACAAAACAAACAAACAAACAAAAAAAACACGAGTACAGTTCTTAATCTTTAAGCAACTGGGGGAATTCTTCCAGCTTGTATTTATTATCAAGCAAAGGAATGACTAACAGCACCAGGCAACAGCCTCTCTTATAGATAAGGCTAAAGCCAGGGAATGCAGAGTCAGGGGAAAGGGGCCTCCAACATCTGGAGATTGCTGCGTGCTTCCTTTGGATGTTTTTAGTGCATTAATAACAAGCAGTGAAAAGGCTATTTCCCACCGATGCCTGCTGTAAAATGTTTCCTTTGTCCCCTCCGTCTGTCAGGACAAAACTACTGTTCTGGAAACAACGGTGGCTGCTCCCACCTGTGTTTAGCAACACCAAACGGCCGTTCCTGCAAGTGTCCCGACAACGCGGCTCAAGTGGGCTGCGTCGAGAGAGAGTACTGAAAGGAGACATCCAGCGCTCCCGGAGTGGACAAGTTTTAAATCCGGAGCCCCTCAGCATGACTAAATTCTAACTGCTGCAGAACCAGAACCGCCTCTGAAAAGCAGAGGTGAACTTACTGTGCCTTTTTTTTTTCTACTGCTCACTGTTATTGTTACCTACATTTTTTGTGTGTGTGTTACATTTCCCATTTATAAAATCACAATGAACTGTAAGTAGAAGCACTACCATGGTGACCTTTTTCCTGAGTCCACAAAAACTGAGAATGAAGCTCGAAGGAATGCGTAATTCTAATGTGAACTTTATCAGAGCGGTAGATGACATCATCTCATGCACTACTGCACACTGAACCTGGGCTTTTTCTCATGGAAGTGTTATTGTGGAACAGGGTAGGGGGGGAAGCTGGTGGGATGAGTCTAGATGCTGAGCAGAAATGTGAGGGAATAAACATTTTTCTGACACCGTGGGCTCCCGAGTTTGTTGCTTTACAGCGACACCTTGTGTTAGGTAAGTGAATTACAAATATTCATATCTGGTGCTGTTGCGGTAGGTGTCGCCATTGTATAACCTCAAAAAGGGGATGCCTTGTGATATACAGTACCTGCCATGGTTGAATAAATAACTTGTCTTGCAGATTTATATGTATGAAAATGTAATAAATGTTTATTCTTAAACAATTTCTGCGCGACTTTTATCGCAGATGACTTATACACAGGTGCCATTATACACCATTTCTTGCAACAGGCTTATTTTTAACAAGCTGTGTGTGTGTGTGTGTGTGTGTGTGTGTGTGTGTGTGTGTGTGTGTGTGTTTCTTGTCACATGACTTATTTTTTGCGTCTGCTTGGATGAGGCTTCTTCTTTCTCAAAAAGGATCAAGAAAAGCTGCCACCCACGCAGTCTGTGTGCTGGAGGGGGGAGACACGTACGTCAGTGGTGCATTAAGGGGGCTTTTAATAAACCCGGAATATTTTTATCATAAAGACTTGAAACCTGATTGAAAACCTGCTTCGAGTCGCAGCAGTCGTTACTGTCTCTCTCCAGTGACTTGTCCCATTCACATCAACGCCTTAGGGGTATATCTTGATATGACTCTGAGACAAATCGTCATTTCGATCTCACAAAACAATGCTATGACCATAACTGGAAAACAAAATAAAATTCTGTCCTTTTCTATCCAAATTATCAGTGACTGTCATTGTCTAACAATAAAAAAGTCTGACCATTAGTCCTATGCAAGACTGCAAAATTTGGTATTGATCAGACACAAAGTAAATATTGGGACAGTATTTTAAATATGCTGATACTTTTAATCTATAAAGATAGCTTAAGTTGGGGAGATCATTGTGTCAGGATTTATTAGAGAAATCATCATCACTTTGCAAATTCTGAATACATTTTAATGATCATGGAATCACTGTGGTCTTTTACTTTCCACAATACTTTAACACAACAAACACACCTTTCAGCTTTTCATGTATTTTGAATCTGAGGGTGTGTGTGTGTGTGTGTGTGTTATTTACTATAAATAAAAAAAAGACCTGACGATCAAAAAGGTTCAGATATTTTTCAAAGTGCATGTTTGATAGAAAAAAAGTATCGATTCTATCGTGCTACTATTGATCTGATACCAATACCAGCGTTGGAATCGATACTATTGGTTCAGTCCGCCTACCTCTACTGGCCATCTGTCAAGCCACGGGTAAGGAACAGCAGGGGAGATTGTGACCAGAACCAAGTTGCTAATTCTGTTTTTCATAACTGTGACAGATGTGCTTGTCTTGCTTCACTGATTACCAGCTGTCCATTAAAATGTATGAATAAGGGGGGGGATTCAGTGTCCTGAAGCCCACAGTAATGTCACCATAAAATAAATAAAAGCAGCAAATCCTTGTTCTTTTTTTTTTCACTAAACACATCGATCATTCGTCATTACGCAAAAATTACCTCAGTCGATTCGTTTAACTTTATAAGTAGTTCAACTACATTTTCATACTCGTAATAACCCTAATCTGCAAGAAAGATAACCTAACGCCGGGATTTTTAGACAATTGTCTCGAGTGTGGCGGCTTCTCACTTTGATATGCACAAACAAGCAAATTACACTTTAGAGGAAAAAATGAATTAGCTTGCCAGTCTGTTCTGCCATCTACAGAGCTTCCCCAAACGCACCACCACCACCTGGGCTAAAAGCTTTGATTGATTGGAAAATGATTTGCGTGTTATCCAATTGGGAGCAGAACAGCAGTCAGTGGGCACTCCACAGACCGTGAGCGCTTAATAACACAATGGTCATTTGCACCCTCAGACAAGTCTTTGAGGAAAAAAGCTGATCAGCGCATAGAAAACTTGAGCTAACTGTTTGGCTTTCAAGGGCTAAACATGCATTATGCATTACGCACAGCCATATTAAGTCTTAGATCATATTAATAGTTTCCAAGGAAATAAATCGCGAAATTAGTGTACCTGTTTGGGTGTTATTACAAAACATTTGCTATGACTTCTCTTTGGATTCTAGGAGGTTCTTCGCAGCCAACTAAATGGGCTGTATTGTAGAGGGAGTTGTCTTGCAGTCAGAGCTGAGGGCTTAACGACCCATTATCTTTAGTGCTGGATGGATGCTAGCTTTAGCTGGGTTAATTTGGGGGAAAACGAAGGTATGTCATAAAATTAATTCTTCTTATTACAGGTAAATATCATACATGTAAGAGATACGTGGCTATACCCATAGCACCTGCTTGTTTTGGATGTTCTTGAAGATGTGTTGGTCGCTCTGTGATACAGTTTTGACAGCTGCCGTACACAGGACGGTGCGATGCAACAATCAGCAGAGCCGCTAACGTCACGGCTGCTGGCTAAAGAGCCAAGAACTCCGGAATAGCTACATTATTCGTTAAAAAACGCTCATAAAGTCAGTCGGTAATGCGTATCTCCGGAGAATATGGCATTTATTTGGACATTTTTTTTAAAGTTACCGAAGCTGCTGGGTTGTTTCTTTTTCGGTCAAGCTAGCCACAACTATAAACACGCTAACGGAGATGAACTTTCAAAATATATCTAACTCGTTCGTGCGATGTAAAGTATATGTATTTTAAGTAAAGCCCAGTTCCGAGGAGGGGAATAGCCACATTACAGAGTTACCACTTGCAATTTATATATTTCTTTTATCTCAGTATGAAACCTAGATGTCTCTGCATTTGAATTTCCATAAAACACTTGAAACGAAATTTTAAATGTAAACATACAAATTGCATTTGAGTGTAATTTAAGCGTTTAATACTGACTGAATACAGCAAGCATCCAAATTGGATATTTTATCTTCAGTTTATTTGCGATTCGGATTATGGATGTTCTTTTACTGCAATATAAATGTGGGTGCATTTATTTTGAAAACACAATTTGTCGCCGGAAATGGGATGTGTGTTGCTGCCTAAAGACTTCACGCAGTTCTGTCAGATACCTAGCTAGCTAGCTGTCTGTATGGCTAGTGTCCGTTTTGTTTTGGTAATGCCCTAGCGTGTCAAACTCGCTTGGGCGAAGTTTATGGTTCAGGTGCGGGTTTTTTGTTGGGTTTTTTTTAAACTGTTAGTGTATCTGCGTTTGTTGACAAAAGTGAATGCGGCATTGCCAGCTAATTCTTCTTTGCTAACCCATCAGACTTTGTATTTTTCAGCAGAAGCCCAGTTTAAAAGTGGCAGAGCGATGCAGTGAATATGCTATGAAAGACTCCGAAGAAGATTTGGGGCTTCGTTCGGGTTATCCCGGGGCACTTCCAGCCACCTGGAGGATTGAGAAAGAACCCCAGAGGAGACCTTTCTGATTCCTAACTTCTTCAACCAGACTTGGTGTTGTATCTGGAAGTGTGGACGATATGGCCAGTCCACAGGAGACGGATCTGTGCTATGCGTGGGAAAAGTATATGGACTGTAGACTGCAAGGAGCCGATCTCCAGGTATGGCGCTTCTGGCAGGAGTGTAACGTCAGAGATCATTCTTTGGGTGGTGGTGCTGCTTACTTTTTACAGGAGCAGGTCCTTAAAAAAGATGATGTCATTGTACTTGGGAAAAGGTCTGAAGACAGCCATGTATCTTGTTTATTCTGATAGAGACAAATTATTTGTTTTCAATCACGATACAGTTGCAAAACCGGTTCTCTCCAGGATTTCATTCAAAGGGCTGAGTCGATACGAAGTTAGTGTGCTTTCTACGCTTGAATAGCAAGAGTTTGTTCTGTGACAGGTGCTATATGAACGCTTTTAACCTAGATAAACTCATGAATAAGGTAATCTTATCCAGAAATACTTTGCTTCTCATTTTTGCCCTCGCTGTGCTGAGGTCAGTGTTCACTAACACGTTTAGGCAAAATGCTCCAGTATGAATTTTGTGCAGAATTATACATGTGCATATGAAACGTGGGTAAGGGGAAGAGTCACTGACTATCAAAGAAAATGACTTCCAATGTGTTTTTGCATATACCTTAAACCCTCTGGTTTACCTTGGCGGTCCCCAGATATCACTTAAGTGGCCAGAAATCTGGCTGGTGCACACCAGAGGCCTGCGTAGACCCAGCATTAAGTCACTGCACAGAGGTGGAGGCAGGTGTAAACCACAGATTATTCACTGTTGGCGCTGCATAAAGGTGCTTTGCTTTCTATCTCATTGTATCCTGTGCATATGTGGTAGCGGTTCTGAAAACTGTCAGATCTCTGCAGCTCTTTCATCCCCCTCTTTCTGTCAGGGAATGAATGGCATCCAGATCACGAGACTTGGATTAGGTTCAGACTGCGGATCTAAGAGTACACACTCGCGCGCACACAGAGGCACACTCACTCATAATGTACCCCATTACTTTTGATTAATCATGTGTGATTTGTCCTTTTAAAGACAGACCTACTATCATTTTTAAAGCTAATTAGTGTTTAGAAAGCCTTGAGGGTTTATTCTCTCTTGGAAATAATGACTTCCTTCCTCCATAGTCATCATGTCTTTGCTGGTGTAGAATGCTTCATTGCTTTGTTAATCACATTAGTCTGCATTATGATATCAGCAGGAGGAATGGTGCTGGCTTTTTCTCAGTTGCTGCAACACTTGGAGTGTGCCAGACAGGCTCAGCCTTTCTATTACTGGTAACTTTTGTCACTTGTGACGAATCTCATGGGACAACTGTGTGCGCTCCTCCACCTGTCAGCTTCCCAGTGATCAAAGCGCCATGCAAGTCTGTGTGTAGAGAGATGGTTAGGTGAGCACAGCTGTCCTGTCCTGTGTTATGATCCTGTAGCTTGCCCTCCTGATTGAGCCTGCAGCACACAGATGCAGCTCATTCCGCCAACCCCGTCAGTGCAAGAGCGTCTACTTTCCATCCTTTTCACCCAAAGTGACATCTTCTCTTCATGGCAGTCAGACTACAGGTAAACACAACAAAGCGATCATGGGAAATGTCCAACCGCTGACAGAAGCAAGCCTCTGTTGTGCTGCTCTGCATCCATTTCTGTGATCACACCTAGAGAAGAGGGGAGGGAAAACACAGCTTCTCCTGCTGCAATCAATAAGAGAGCACAAAAAAAGGTGTGAAATATACCGGTGTTGCAGCAGCTCCTCACTTTTATCATCTTTTATTCATGCCTCTCTCTGCTTTTCTTCTTAAGGTGTTTCAGGACTAATTTCACACCCTGTATTTCCATCATTTGTTCACAGCGCAATCACCGTGGTCATTAACATAAGTGCTGGGTGGGCTAACCCTGACCGATGTGTTCCTCTTTCTGTTTCCTCTTGTGGCTCGATCGTCACTCTCTTCTGAGAAAGCAGACAATGCGAGGTTGTTTATGCTCCACGTAATCACAGATTTTTATGAAGCTGCAAAGACAAAAGACATACAATTTCTCTATGATTTATATTATTTATTTATTTATTTTAAATGCCACAAGGACGACTTTGTCAGACCTTAGATGTGGCCACTGAAATTTGCATACTTATCACTGGTAACTTGAGCGTTCTTAATGTGGGTGTTAGCTTTTAGTGTCTCAGAGTTATGCACTCAACAAATGTCTTGCTTCTTTGTAGGATTTAGCCTCACAGTGGAACTGTGACCTGTCCAGGGTGCACCCCATCTCAAACCCTATGACAGCTGAGATAGGCAGTTACTAAAAAAAAATCAAAACTGGTTAGAGTAGAATGTTTGGATTGATACTGCTGCCTCTTTTTGCCCCTTGTCACTTAGTTTCTCCTAGTTTGCACATTATATTACCATTTAGATGACAGCAATATGGCATAACCACAGCCACTTCTTGTGCTGAATTGGTGGTATTTACCAAGGGCGTGCGCATGTATCATAGCTTCAGTATAACAGGATTACTGACATTAAGCTTTTCTATGCATTCATTCTAATGGAGCCAAAGCTACTGAATTAGTGTGATCTGCTACAAAGAGGATATTTCGAAGGATCCGAAAGGATACTTTTCATTCAGTCCAGTCTCTCTGAATCTTGATGAGCAGAGTCCATTTAGCAGAATGGCTGCCTGGCGAGGAGCCAGGCAAGAAAACAGGTTGCCTGTTGATAGTTAAGTTTCATTATGAGCTAACAGGATGTTTCAAAACACCAAAGTGAGGTGTTTGTAGCACTTCTCTTTTTCTTGCTTTTTGGCACAAAGGGGGTTCAGCTAAGTGATCTCTTTGCTTGCTCTGTATGACTCCTGAACTACTTAAAATTCCATTAACTGAACCAGTTGGTCTTGAATTCATGTAAGGTCCGCTTGGCTTTAGCTTTTTTGCATAAATGTGGATAACCAGTCTTTTCCTGCACGGTGGATGAACACATCTTGTGAGTTATGGTTTTGGCAGTTTACAAATTATGGGCTGTAGTGTTAATTACACTGTCTGTGCAGTGTCAATTAATATGTGACAGCAGATACTTTTGTTTAAAGCTGATAAAATGGTATGTTTGTTTTGTTTTAATTGTTTTTATTAATTATTTGTTTTAAATAAGGACAGCCACACATTCCACCCACATCACTTGTTATTACTTCTCCGAGTTCTGTTCTGTGCATCTCATTCATGCTGTGGTAAAGCACTGAATCCTTGTCTAAAGAAGATTAAACTTGTCGAGCAAAGCATGAGGCAAAAATGTGGTGAATACTAAAAGGAGAGTAAAGATGGCAGTGCTGCTTTACTTTCATCCCCAGTGTTTGTTATTTGGCTTGTCAGGACTGAACAGTGAGGGGAAAAAACTGTGCCATCCTCGTATTTTTAGAATATTTTGGTTAAAGGCTGTGCTGTCAATGTTATTTCTGTGATTGTATTAACTGAGACCTTATGCTGTGCTGTTTGTCTTGCAAACAATTGAACCCATAGCAGTACAGGAAATGTAATTGTAGCAGTAAAAATGGAAAAATAATTAATTATAGTGTTTTCTTTTCATTTTAGGGTGAAGTTCTTTCTTGTGTTCAGTTCTTTCTTACCATAATTTAGATTAGTGATTTTGAAATTTATGTGAGTAACTGAAAAATGACAACCACTAAGTTTATGCTGGAGAGTTCTCGATCTTTATGCTTTCAGTGTTAGTAATTCCTAACCTCGGGTGGTGGGGGAACTTCTCGGAGGTTGTCCTGTCATACCTAATGTGTCAGAATCACGTGGACCAATAAGATGTAATGCATTTAGAGACCACTTCAAGGTCTTTTCTTTTTTCTTGTTTTAGACTTATCCCACAAATAAATCAGATCACTGAGGTCCAGTGAATTAATTTATTAGGCAGAGGTGGACTTCAGTCAAGATGTAGACGCATCTTCAGCGTCACTGATGGAAGTAGGACACTCCAGAGCTTTTTTGCAAGCCCATCAAAACAGACCGGTAACAGTAATATTACATTTAGAGAAACGCCTAAAAACTTGATTTTACTTTTTCATAGGCCCTTTATTTGTTATGCCTTGTTAATACTGAATTGGATGTCTTTTTACCTTCAGAACTACCTTTTATTTTTTGTGTAACTTGCTGAGATTTAAGTCCATATCAACGTGGTGGCATCACGTAGCTGCTGTAGGTTTGCACATGCATGATGCAAATCTCCCGTTCCACTATGGAGGCCATTTGACTTCAAAGAACCTATTGTGAAGAAACCAGTTTTAGGTGATTTGAGCTTTGTGACATGGCACGTTATCTTTCTGGAAACAGCCATCAGAAGATGGGTAAACTGTGGTGAAAAAGATCAGCAGCAACACTGCGGTGTTTAAAAGATGGCTAGTTGACACTAACGGACTGACCACATGTAGCTGTCGATACAAGACAGGATGGATTTGTGCTCTGTTTATGCCAAATTTTAACACTACCATGCAAAAGCAGAAATCGACACTCATCAGCTGGGACACTGTTTTTCAAATTTTGATGAGTCTGTGGGATTTTATAACCTCAGTTTCCCATTCTTAGCTGACAGGAATGGCAGTGTGGTCTTCTGCTGTTTTAGCCCGTCTGCAGCTAGATTTGATGTGCTGTGCATTAAGAGATGCTCTTCTGCATACTTCAGTTGTAAGGAATGGTTATTTGAGTAGCTGTTGCCTTTCTGTCAGCTCAAAGCAGTCTGGGAGTTTTCCTCTGACTTCAGGAATCAACGAGGCATTTTTTGCAAAGAGAATTGCTGCTCACTGGATATTTTCTGTTTTTGTGGTTGTGTGGTAAAATCTCGGTAGCTCAGCAGTTTCTGAAATATTTAAATGGGCATGTCTAGCACAGACACTCATGTTGTGATCAAAGTAACTGAAATCTCCTTTCTTCCCCATTCTGATGCCCAGTTTAATCTCCAGCAGCTCATCTTCACCACATCTGCATGCCTGAATTCATTGAGCTGATGACGTGATTGGAGGATTTACTTTAATGAGCAGTTGAACAAGTTTATCTAACAAAATGCTTTTTCCAGTGCACCATTTCTGTCCTTCAGTGCTGAATAAACAATAGAAGTTTTAGGATTACTCATTTCTAACATCTGTCAACACAGTAGATAAATCATTTGATCCTCAGTGATTTGCCGATACTTCACTGTTTAGTGATTCACCACTGAATTTTAATTCAAGTGCTACAGATCATGCCGGATCTGATCATGCTGTCTTGTGATCATCACACTTTGACAGGCTGCTGTTGGCATTGTTTATCATCGCAATTTTAGTGAAGTTGCTTTGTTGGGCTTGCTGACTGACCATACACTTGTTTCACATCTGCTTTCATTGTTCTGCCCTTTAGCTTCAGCCTGACTCCTGCTCGCTCTGGTCTCCGGGGCTGTTCCAAACCACTGGCTGAATGGATGAATTATTCATCTCTCTGGTTTGGGGTTGAGTCAGATCCCAGCCATTGCTATGCCTCAGCTTTTTCCACCCGGTGGCTTGTTATTAAGTCAGATTCCTCCTCAAAAAACACAGTGTCTCAGGCCACAGGGGAAGAGAAAGGCCAGAGCAGGTTGCTTGGTTTGTAATTTTGACTTAACACCAGCTTGCGTGCTATTTCCCTGTAATGAAAACAATGAAGCAGACAGTAACACATTTTCATTTCCTGCACAGTGGCTATGCTCAAACAAAGGTCACTGTTTGTGACAGCGAAGATCTGAGAGTAGCAAAAACACCGACATGCTACCTTTTTTTTTTTTTTTTTTTTTAAATTGTGGCTACCTGATATTTTGCCTGTGTCTCATTGGACGGGGTTGGGGGAGCATTTTATTATGTTATTTATGATCTTGTGTGAAAGGATTCTGCTCTCTGACTCATAGCGGAAATGTGTAACGTTAGGGGCTTCTCATGATGCTCATCACCCAAATGTCAAATTAAATCAGCTGAGATCTCAAACTAAAAAAAAAAACAAGATTGCATAACTAACGCTACACGTCCTCTCTCATGAGGACAGGATCACATCGCTTTCCGCGCCTCTGTCAAGTTGTAGACTGCCCAATTATCCAAGCAGAGCTTGAGAGGAAAAGTCTGTACAAGCATGGGTGACTCACCCATCACACTCCCATGACTAGGTCTCCCATGATCACCAATTGGATAAAGACACAAGTCACAGCAACTGTATCAAAGCAATTATGGAAAGTCAGAGTCTCAGCTGGAATCATGTATACCTCCCATGTAGTAGAGAAGGGAAGTCTGATTTGAATCTGTTATTTTTACTTAAATGTGTGTTACTTTAAGCAAATTAATCTTACACGTGTGCAGTGGCAGTCCACGAGAGAAGATGAAAGGAAAGGTCGACATAACCAAAGTTACCTGTGGTTAAATTATGTTAATGTATTCTACTGTCGCAAGCTATAAAACAGAAAGTAACACCTTAAATAAGCGATAGTAATGGAAATCTGTAGCGGCAAGTGTCAACCGACCTGGATAGCCTGCCCACGTCTACATGACAAATGAGCGAATAAAGAAGTCGGTGCAGAGGAAAGGTCAGAACTTTCCTTTTGTTTACAGAGATGTGTTCAGTGAGCTTTGTGAACTGCTGATTTCCCTTCTAAGCTGCATTAATCGCTATTGGCAGTCTCTCCATTATCAAATCACGCTGGCTGCTTGGTGCTGAGTGCATTGTAATATTGGATTAGAGCCTCGGAGGAAAAAACAAACCTTTGCTGGGAAATTGCATGTTATCTCGAACCATTCAGTTTCCCTTTCCCATATGAGGAATACAACCAGAACACAGGTACACAAGATAACACGAGGACAAACACAGTCATTTTAGATCCTCATTTCGGAAGATTAATTTAATAGACGGCGTGCACAGCTCCAGCATTGCTTCAGGGCTTATTTATCAAACTAATAACAGTTTTTGCGAGCTTGAAGCTTTGATCTCCTGCCAGTCACCTCCTCTGTTTATCTTTGCTCTCATCTGTTGCTGCATTTATTTCTTTCACCTTTACGCTCTTGTCCACTCTCATGTTTTTCCCCCCCTTGTCCTTTCCTGTCTCTCTCATGCTCCATGCATTTCTTTTTCTTCCCTTTCCCGTCTGCTCTGTATGATGTTGTCCAGCCCCCTGATGTGCAGTGACCCCTCCCCCATCCACCCATCACATCAGTGCTTAGGTGGGTTGTTGCCTCAGGTGTTGAAGTATCACCCTCCCTGACCCTCCCTGACCCTGGTGAGTGTGGTCAACTTTGCACCTTCATCATCTGGTACCTCACAGTATAAGACACCTGCCTTAAATGTCTACATGCTTTTGACCATATGACACACATGTAAAATCTGTTTCATACCATACATAAGCTAACAGAGTAAATAACCTCCTTTTGACAGTTATGACACAGGAAGGAAGTTGACTTCTCGCCTAAATGTAGGGTAGCAGAGCAGTGATGCCAGAAAATAGCCTCAGTCCTTGTGCTAAACGTGATGCTTGGCGTCAAAAGCTGAGGTGTAATAGAACTTCAGCACCTGAATAACCGATGTGAAACTTTTCCCCCGTTGTGTTTCGATCATAGCGTGTGAGAAAATCACACTTTCACTCTAACTGTCGCCAAGTTTACTTGTTAAAGTGATGCTTTACATCACTTGGCTTTATTGTTTTGTCATGTCGTACTGTAAGTTGTGTAATGATAAAAGACTGTTTTGCAATGAATCTGTTCAAGGTGCTTGACATAATCTTTTATCCAAAGATAAAGATCTTTTCAAACTATCGTTGTTTTGATGGGGTTGGGGGATTTAAGGGCTAATACTGGGCTCGTGACAAAAATGAAGACAAATCAAAAACAAGTGTGCTTATTTTCTGCCTTTTCTTTCCAAAATGCGCAGTTTTTCCTTCAGGTCTATGTTGATTCTGTTTCTTTCCACATAAAATCTTAAAATTTAATTTTAATTTAATTTCTTCAGTGTTTTAATGAAATAACAGGAAGCTTTTGCCAGTAATGTTTACTTTCATGCTTGTGCCATGTGCATGCACTATACAAACAAATATGGACCCACTTTTGAAAACATTGCTGCTGCAGGTGTTGTAGTCCAAACCTCCACAGGATATATTGACATGTACTTTAAAAAATTTACTTGAATCAATATATTCCATGCATGTGATTTATCTTTTATTTGAAGGATTTAAATGCATCTTTATATTATTTTTAATGGACCAGCTGTGGGGATTGTCATTTAATAACCATACCTTCCAAAAAGCAGTGTAGGGATCACCCTAAGCTTGTAGATCTTGTTGTGTAATGTAGTATGTGGTGTCTGTTCTTTGGCTTTGTGACCCAGACACTCGGGGCAGCCGCATCAGTCAGGGATCAGTGTTGCCCGAATGAATCCAGTCAGCGGTATCAGATTAGCGGAGGCGTAAAGCTAGCTCCTGTGTAGCATAGGAGACAGCAGTATGCTGGCTTAGTGGTTCACCCGTCTGTTGGCAAGGTATTAACACACTATCCTAGAAAAGTAATGCAGTTAAAAGTGGTCAGATGGCATGTCTTACCGGTAAGAAAGTTCCTGTTGCCTTCCAACTCTAATGACAGATTTGTGCTTGGCGGTCAGGCTCTGACCGCTGCACTGTGACAAAACAGATTCATCATTATATGGTCTTTGTTTCCCTACACTGATAGATGCCTCAGTACTATTAAGCTTACTACTTTTATTGCTAATATTGTTAATTGTGAACTTTCATAGTGCTCTCCAGTAGGGCAGACTTTTTGTTCAAAGTGTTAATTTTTCACTTTGCTAATAAGTTTATGGAGTTGGGGCAAAGATTATATTAGAAAGATGCTAAAAGAAAATGTGGTTATTTTCATCAAAATGGCATCAGAAATATTATAACTACAGGACTTGTAATTTTGGTAACTTATTTTTCTCTTTGAATGTGTTTTAAATCGGTGCTTTTATAGTAGGAGGTTAGAGAGGAGAGAGAAAATATACTGGCTCCCAGCACTTTATCTGACCTGAAAAATCTATATTGGAGCAATACGCTCACATAATGACATTGGAGGCTTTTACATCACTATTGAATGGACTCTGCTACCATTTCGAATGATTGTAAAACCTAAAAATGTTACAGTAGCTGTCACTTTAAAAGAAAATGCTTTCAGGTCCTCTTTGTTTTAGCACATGTACATAATAACCTGGGTTTAATTTATGTTGCTACTCTTGTGTCTCATTTGTGTGTCTCTGTGTGTGTTATCAGGTCAGCCTTCAGAGTCTGGAGAATTTCCTTTGTCTCTTCCACTACGTGCAGCACCACTGCAAGCACAGCAGCAAAGATGCACTGAAATTCTGGTAAGGTCTCATCACTCTGTCAGTGTCTTAACACCTCATTATAAGACATTTGTGTCACTTTGCCGGGATAAAGCCTATGCATGAAATGAGCTTTCGAAAATCTGGTGCAACAGTGGAATCATAAAGACATATTTATTAGCATTATTGTAGGCTAATAATACAATCACTATAGTTGTGTCTCAAACTATGTTGTCAAAATCAATCAATCAAATTTAAGAGAATAAACGAGGCCACATGCAACTTAATGTATATATTCAATTCAGTTCAGTTTTATTAATATAGCGCCCAATCCCAACAGCGGTCACCACAAGGCGCTTTATATTTTAACGTAAAGGCCCTACAATAATACAATGGAACCAGTGTGTCATAGATTGGATGCAGTGCCTGCAAACATGCAGGAAGTGCAGTTATTTTAGTCCTCTTTTTCTCTGTTTTGGCAAAAGAACGGCAGAAATGACACATTTATATCCTTTTATGTCCTGCCTCTATAGTAGAGGTTTGAGGAATTATGTAATCATGGTGCATTAGCGTTTGGAGTACCTTACTGCATAGATTTACATACTGATGAGGAAAATTGTGGGACTTTAGGAACCTCGAGTACCTCTTGTTTGTATTCTGTTGAGTGTGGGTAAGTCGGTCTCTCACACACACACACACACACACACACACGCAGTCTGCCTAGAATTAAGTGGATGCATTAGCATTTGCAATCCACATGTTCCTTCAGCTGAAAAATCATTGTTAAAATACCAAAAATAATGTCCTTGTGTAAAGACGAGCTTGAGGCGTTTTGATGTTTTGCTCTGTGAGATCAATTACTGAACACTAATTTGCTTAATTAACAGAGCTTTTTTTATGTGAAAATGAAGCAGTTGGCTAACAGATGTTGTAGAAACAAGACCTCATGCTGTAGAGCTTCTTACATTGGACTAGGTTGTAGATTTTTACTTGTGTGCTGTTACTGTGGTTTGTTTTAAACCATCAGACGCTTACACGTTTATAAGTAATATTGTTAGAGGAGCATGATCACAGATTAAAGTAATACCTATACTGCCTACATGCTTACATGTGAACAAAGAGTTGTGCCAAATCTTTAAAAAAAAACAAAAAAAAACATGTTTGTTGGGATTATTTGAAGAGGCAACATCCAGTATACATATAGTTTAAAAAAGAAATTCAAGGAAAACACTTGGACTGCATTTTGAAATAAACTCCTTTTACTTGAAATTGTTTGAGCAAACGTGAGTAGAAGTGTTGTTTCTTTTTTTTGTTGCAAAACTAGAACTGAGAGAGGAATTGAAAAATTTGACTGTAAGCCTTTACAAAGTTCTGAAATGATACAGGAAGATTAGTGACCATAGTACCGCTAATCCTCCAATCACAGTGACAATGTTCACGGTCTAAATATGAAAAAGATGTCACAGGAGTATCGGTGATGGTCTGGATTTCTGTGACTTGGATAGTGATCAGACAGACAAGATTACAGTGTCAGTCTGTATTGATAATGGTCAAGAAATGAATGTATTCTAGCTGCGTGGTTAACCTAAGATATATAGGTGCTCCTTTAGGTCAATGAAAACATTTCAACTTCTATTAAAACTAATTTACTAAACTAGAGTGCATTGGAGTTCCCTGATTTCTATGGGTATACCCTGCTTAAAAAAAAAATTAAAGGAGCTCTTTTAAAAACACATCAGATCTCAAAAAGAAATCATGCTGGATATCTATATTGATATGGACTGGGTAACCACCAAACTGGTCGTGCACCTGTTCTCATCTGTGAAAAGCACAGGGCTCCAGTGGTGGACCTGCCAATTCTGGTTTTCTACAGCAAATGCTAATCTGCTCCACGGTGACAGGCAGTGAGCACAGGGCCCTCTAGAGGACATCACGCCCTCAGACCATCCCCAGTGAGTCATTTGTAGCTCTGGCAGTGCTCATCTTGTTCTTCTTTGAACAAAGGAGCAGATATCGGTCCTGTTGATTAGTTAAGGACCTTTTACAGCAATTTCCAGCTCTCCTTGACTAACTGTCTGTTTCCTGGAATCTCCTCCATGTTCTTGAGACTGTGCTGGGAGAGACAGGAAACCTCCTAGCAATGGCGCATGTCCCCGCCTTCCTGGAGGAGTTGAACTACCTGTGCAACTCTGTAGGGTCCCTGTATCCCCTCGTGCTACCAGTAGTGACTCTGACCCTAGCCAAATGCAAACCTAGTGAAAAAAACAGTGAAAAATGTCCGTGTCTTCCACGTGTAAAACTATTCCTGTTTTGGGGCTTGTCTCACTGTTGCCCCTCTAGTGCACCTGTTGTTAATTTGATTAACACCAAAGTAGAAACTGATTAACAACCTTGTCTACTACTGAACTGATCAGATCAATATCCCAGAAGATTAATTGACTTCATGCTGTACTCTGATTAAAATGTGGTGCTCTTTTTTTTTTTTTTTTGTTCACGTTAAATTGAATCAGGTTGAATTTCAGGAAGCGCTTCGGTACTATTACCAAAAATTATTTGTTCAGTCAGAAGGAGTCCAGCGTGTTTTAGACAGGCTAGCATACTCCTGTTAGTGAAGTGGCCACATCACTAAGTGCTGTTGAGACGACACCACGAATGCCTGTGGTGCTGGATGACAAGGTGACTCCTAGTCTTCTGAAAAGGGAACACAATGATAACAATGATAAAATCACAGAGCTTCTAAACAAGATAAAAATGGAAGACCTTACTATGTTACCTGATCCAGTAGAATGCCTATGGAGAATACAAACGAGAACGATTGCGCAAAACAACCCTCACAAAAAAAACAGTGCCTTAAAGATAGCGGGGCATCTGTTCAAAAATCTGTGCAATGCTTAGACCCTCCTCACCGAAGAGGATTTAATGTGCCATTAAAAATCCAGAAAACTGGACAATAGAGTAATGAAGTGTGTAATACTACTCTGGATGTACTGACTTCTGTTGTTTTCTGTGTAAATCTTTGTCAAACATATAAGCCCGGAGTCCACTGTCCCGGTTGTTGTTTACAAGCAGCCATGAAAACTCACTTAAGTCTTAATTGACAGATTTAAATTCATTACACATTTTTTTTTTGCATTAAATTTGCATTAATTATCTAATCTCATGTTGTTTGTAGTAGAACCAGAACTACAGATGCAGGAGATAAACAGTGCTGACAGTCTGTTAACAGTGCATGCCACACAGGAATCCTTTCAATGACACTGAGGTTTTTATTCATAGATGAGGGGAGCTGTATTTGAATATTATCCAATGCATGACTCAAATGACAAAGCTGAACAAAGCATCCACTATAATGATAACTGGGTTTGAGTGAAGAACGTCACAGTTTTTGGCCTGGGGGTAAACCTAAAATTTGACATCTGGAGTGGGAAGCTTTCATGGAAATCGTTTTGAAGTACTGAATTTCGATTTAAGGTCTCGTGGTAGCAGGACAAAGCAGGTGAATCGGATCAGATATTGACGACAAAGAACTTTCTGAGCTGTCGCTAAACTCTCTTAAACATGGTGGCTGTAAACTGATGGTGTATTTGCAGAGCTGTCACATTGATCATGGTGATGATTTTGAGCTGTTAGCATTTTTGATCTCTAATAACAGTGGAAGAAAATGGTGCATGCAGTTTTTTCAAGAATTTGTTAGACCAACTGTCATAAAAAAGAAATATTTTAGCAACCTGCCAAACACTTGTTTAAAGCTTCAAATTTACATTGTTTATTAGGCAAATAATAAAGCAAATTCACATTTTTATACCCAAATTTGAGTCGGGCACTGGATTTCTCAGAAATTAATCAAGCATAAAATTCAGCCAGTAAAAGAAAATGTTCTGTCGAGATTAATGTGTCTAGCTAATATTAGGGGTGGGGGAAAAAATCGATACTGTGTAGTATCGTGATATTTTGTTTGCTAATAATGTATCGATACAGGGACAGCAGAAATCGATATTTTGTTACAAAAAAGTTTTTGTGCTCTGACTTCAGAGCATGTTGATCCTTTTTCTGAGCAAGAATCCTGACATTCCTTCACTGTCCAAATGTGTTTAACTTTTTTTTTGGCAGCAATAAACATGACAGTTTACTTATTTTAATTTAAGACATGTTTTATTTTAATTAAGTTTAAAACTTTTTTATTTAATGTAAAATTATATTTTGTTTTAATTTACTTTCAAATTCTTCAGTTGCTGAAGGGGCTGCATAGTTTTCATAAATTGCATAGTTCAGAATAGCTATAATTGTACCAGATGGTTGCATTCAGTTAAGTTGGACTAGACTGTAATACAAACCGTTCAGTTTGTCAACAATAAAACTGACTGAAATGAGAGAAAGACTGAGTGTGAGACTTTGATATTAGATAAAATGAATATTGATAAAGTTTACCTTTATGTACAGAATCTGAATATCGCAAAATATTTTTAAAAATTGCAATAATATCGTATCGTGCATTAAGTATTGTGATAATATCGTATCGTGGGATGTATGGTGATTCCCACCTCTATCAAACATCCCAAATTTGTTTTGTTTTGTTTTAAACGGTCAATTTGAAAATTCAAGGATTAAAAACAGTAATTAATAGTAATACACAACCAGAAACATAACAAAATGATATTGTCAGTACTGTTTTACCAGTACTGTACCTTTAATTTAGGGGAACTGTGGCGTAAACCTTACACTGGGTGGTGGTGTAGTATTTTTCTGAAACACTGTACACCAATTTATCTACTTCTTTTAAAAAATATTCTGTGCTTTGAACTTTGTTCAAATATTAAGGGAAATGAAAAATGCTGTACACACACTACTAATTACAGTAAGACGTGTTTGAAAAATGTGAGATCCAAAGGTTGTTTGGCAAATTGAGTGGCTTGAATTAGGTAACTGTGAAACAATTTTTGGCAAATTCAGCAAATTTAGTCAACGAGCTGATATATTTAGTCATGTACCAAAGGTTCAATTTGAGATTTATAAAAATTTAGATTTGTTGCAACTGCATTATGCAAGCCAAATTTCATGCAGCCAGTTATGAGATAAAAATGCTTTCAGGTTGTGGTGCCACCTATTAGTGAAGCACAATTTGCTTTATTACATCAGACTTCTGGAAGTCTCTAGAATTTCAGGTTGAAATCCCAACGTGTTTACAAGTTATTGAAAGCGTTTGAAAATTAAAGGAAGGGAAAATAAAAGCAGCTCAATGTGGGCAACCTCAAATGTTCAGAGTCAAAATGGTAGCGAAGGCTTCTTGAGAAAGGTTAAGCGTCCTCAGAGACAGTTAGAAAGCTTCTGTAAGCAGAGGCAGATCTATACAAAGGCAAAATTTTAGACCTGGCTCACAAAACCAGGTGTTGCAGCTGGATTTTCTAAAATGTGCCGCTCTCTTTTCTATTTTCTTTAGCCTGTTCACTTCATCTACTTTCTTCTTGTGACCTTATCTTTTTCTGAGTCTAGCCGGCAGTGAATATCTGCAGCCCACTCCTCTTTCCGACAGTGCTATTTTTTTGTTTTTTAATATTTATTTATTGTGTAAACCTCATGGCCTTAATTAAAGCCAATATTGGAACTGCAATAAATTAAAAAATAAACATGTTTTTTACACTTAATATCTTACGGAAATGGTGTTTACTGATTGGAAAAGTATAATTAGAAATAGTTGGGGAAAAATTTAATTAAAATTTGCATTTCAAATTCATCACCGTGCAAGGTTAATTTGTAAAGATGAAAGCAGCAAAAAGTTTGAGAAATATCTTTTTTTTTTGTGTGTGTAAAGTTTCCCTTATGGCACCTTCTCTGCGTATCCTCTGCAGGGCTCTGTGTGCATTAAAGAAAAACTCTCAGCTGTTGTAGTGGAGGATACAAAGGCAGTTACAATGAATGATGGTTGAGGTCTCGTACGGGGCACTGGAGGCTGATCAGCTCAGAGGGCCACTCCCATCGCCATGTGACATCACATGCTTTCATGTGATACGCTGATCTGCTGCGAATCTGGAAAGCTTCCATTTGAAATTCCAATTTAATGGAATTTGTGCTGCAGAACAGAAAATTCAGTCAGTGGTCATGTGAGATGGCATGCAGATACAGCCAGCAGAGCTGCAGTCAAGCTTTCAGCACACAAAAGATGACTGGAAGGAAACTATTTGGCCCAGCAACATTTGGTAAGATAAGAAGGACTGTGCGTGTTGCAGAGGTTTGTGTCAGAAATGGGTGTTTTTTATTCTTTTAAATTAAGTACATGTTGAAGATTTTATTAACCAAGCCCTCCTGTGTGTAGATTATTGTATTGTACGCAGGTTTGGATTAGAGGTGAAATGTAAACATCCAAGTGTGAACACTGAGTTATTGGATCTGTCTGATGGAATTAATCATGTCTCAGTCCTGAGGCCGTGTCTTGAATTCGCGTTGTGCTGTGTTACAGAAATTGTTCTGAAACGGTGATTGAAGGAGGTGTGTGGTTTACAGCTTATGGTGCACGTGGTTGCGGCAGGCATGCACATACAAGCCTGGAGCCGCTCTAAATGGCTTTCTTAGTAGAAAAAGCGCAGTTTCCTGTTTGATTTGGTATCAGTATGAATCAACAGTTTCATGTTTGATCATAATGAGCGTAATTGGAGCATTGATTTGTTTTGCTCATTTATACAATGCCTTGTATAGTCTGGCTGTTTCAGGGGGGTTGGGTTTGGCGGTTTTTCATTCATCCCATGGTTTTGTGTCGTAGATCTGACGTCACCAGTGGATTGTAAAGGGAATGCAGTTTTACAAAACAAAGGCTGAACTAATGTGATTACATCCTTGTTTTGTCTCATTAGTTAGAGCTTCACAGCCATCTCAACATATTATGGCAAAAGGATTATTTGTTTGTTTGTTTTTGGAGTGTTTTTTGTCCTTTTTTAGAGGTAAGTGAGTGCTTTTGCTAAAATCAGATATTCACGTGATTCATGTGTTTTCTTTTACTTGAGAGAAATTTACTATCGTTCGTCTGAGCGAGTTAAGTTATAAACACACTAATAGCAAGGTGTATTTTTACTGTTTGTCCACTAATGCTTGTGAAGAAGGAAACCAGAGTTTTTCAGTATTATAATGCTACAATCCGAAATATTTATGAGTGTTTTGATGTGTTTGTCTTCTGTTGTAGCTCAGACATGAGTGGGGCCAGTAACACACTGGCACGGGAGTTCTTGACTGATGTGCATCAGCTCTGCAGTGCGGTAGCCCAGAGATCGGAGGCACGGGAGGAAGATGAGGAGGAAAGTCACATGGTGGCTCTGGGCGAGTACCTGGTCAGGGGACGAGGCTTCCTGCTGCTCAGTACCCTGGACTCGATCATTGACCAGGTAAGGAGAAGTCAAGTGCACCCATCCTGACTTTGATTATAGAAAAAAAAATCCATTATGTATTTAATTCCCCAAAAAGTTAACCTTTCTGTGCTGTAGTTACAGAGAACCCACAAACATTTATCATTTATGCAGCTTTGCCAACACCAGCGTATCAGATTCAAATTTCTCTTCACTTGCCGCCTCTTGCAGCATCTAATCTCTTGATCAAGGAGAAACTGCAGATAGACTTTGCAGTAGAGAGATGCAATATAGTTAAAGCACATGACAGAAATGAGAGAATGGAGATATTTAATGACCATTATGCATTTATAAGACGCGATAACATTTTAAGAGTGAACAAGATGGGATTTAGTTGAGCATGCTGTATATTTGAAAATTTCCTGGAGTTTGATGGTTGTCAGTAACTTTCTCTATGCTTTTTTTTTTTAAGTGCCTGGAGGTGACTACTGTTGTGATTTGGTGATATATAAATAACGTTGGATTGAATTGACTGCTTTTCTATGCTTCTAGAACCTTTATTCACATTAGGGGACTTCCAGGCATTATAGCCAATTCTTTTACTACCACAGAGCCAGTATTTTCTGTTTGTTCAAAGGCAATTTAGGCTCCTACAATACATCTGCTTCTGGTGTTTGCACAACTTACAAGACGGTTTTATCATAAGAGGAAACTGGCGATGCCCACACGCTGTTGATGACATGAATGATTGCTGAGAGACGGTCTTTCTGCTTCTGCTATATGCAAATTATTGATGCAAGTCTTTATAGAATATATGAGTTGCACTTAAAAATACACACACACACACACACACACACACACACACACACACACACACACACACACACACACACACACACACACACACCCATTCAGCTATCATAGTGAGGACCTTGATTGACATCATGCTTTCCCTAGCTGCTTACCCTAACCATTAAAAATGAATGCCTAACCCTGAACCTAAACATAACCTAATTGTAACCCTGACACTAAAACCACATTTTGAGCCTCAAAATGCCTTTAAATACCATCAAATTTGTGAGAACCCGTTTGTGTGTCCTCACAAGTGATGGTAAGTATAGTAGAATGCAGATTTTGGTCCTCACAAAGATAGCTAGACTGTGTGTGTGTGTGTGTGTGCATTTTTATAATAGATCATAAAAGACAATTCCTCAAAAATTCTTTGTGATGTGGTCTGAACAATATTAGTACATAGAAATAAATGAAGGCCAAAGTTTCCTACCCACTGTCTATGAGGGTAAGTTGAGGCCTTTTTTGTGGTGCTCCTGTTAAATAGGATGTGCCTCTTTTAGACACAGTTTTTGTTTCCTCTGTAAACTGGCACCAGGCTATGACAGAGTGCAGGGTTTTTTCTGCCTACACACTTGTGTACCAGTCTTCAACTTTACCTTGGAGCTCACACTGGAGCGCACTGTGTGTTTCTTATATATTGATTTGGTCTGTGAGTGTTTTTTGTGTCAAGAAAGAGTTTAGGAGATTTTTCATTTGTTTATTTGTTTATTTATGGTTGGTTTTTGCAGCTTTCACATGACTGCTGGAGCGCTTCCCCTTGATAGTTTGTGTGAGAAAAAGATTTCGGGAAAAATGACCTGTCTATATCAAGTGTTTTCTTGAAAAAAAAGAACTGTTTGTCAGTGTCCCCACTGCCTCATGTTATTCATATCTTTTAGCTAATTTAAAGTAAATTTTCTATTTTTGTCCAAGCCTTCAGTGTAAAGCATCCATGTGCAGCTGTGTGCATCAGCAGCATCCCAAGTGGAATAAAGCCTTCAGAGACACATTATGAAGAACTTAAACTTTTCAAACAAATCAGGTTTTAAATCATAGACCTAGTGTGTGAGAAAATGTATTTTGAGTAGTGTTTATTCCACACGGTTGTTATGTCCTCCCAGACTGTGTCACCTTCACTCTGTTGGTTTAGATGATTCAGATCTACTCTGTAAAATTCTCTTTAACAGTAGAAGTGTTATTAGTCTTTACATTAGCAGATTAGCAGATTAGTAGTCAACCATGTAACATCCTATTGATTTGAGGGTTTTATTAAATTATTTTTTGTTCCCTTTTAAATTTGTTAAGGTTGTGTGTTGATGTGTTAAGCGTCAGGCTTGTGTTGGCTCTTTGATTTCACCTTAATGGTTTACCTTTCAAATGATTACTACATAAAAAATGTATTACAGAAGTCATCAATAAATGGTAGTAAAAGTATTTGAAAAATTCCAGAGTAATACTAACAGAATATCTAGTGAAGATACTACTGGATATGTGACTTGCATTTACTTACTGAATGTCGGTGTGAGTCATTTCTGTCTGCAAACAGTTAACGTTGACACACCCATTGGAGATGTCCTAAAGAACAGAACCATCAAAGGTTGCGCTGGAGCACCGACGTTTTGAGCCAAGGCAAATAGGCACGTTGGCCATATCTCTTACCCTGTATTCACATTTCAATAACAAGTACACTTGAGACAAAAAAGAACCGAAAACAGTTGTGGCTATAATGTTCACTTACCCCTGGACCAGAAAAAACCTAAGAGAAGCACCAATTAGAAACACAGAAGGAGTGGGACTTCATCCTCTGCCAAGGATGCTATTATTACTCTCCTTTGGGCATTTCCACAGCAAAGGTGTTTGGTGTTGTGTTCATACTCTTCTATTATGAATCGTTAAGAAAAGAACAGCTTATTTTCTCCCTTCATTATCCAAAATGTACCTTTTGCAATAAATGGAGATGCATATTTGTAAAAAGTAGTAGCTGAATATAATACTTTGAAATGCTCAAAATGATCCTGGAATGAAATGGATTGCACTTTTTCTTTTTTTTTTAATGCAGTCTAAGTCGGCGTGCGCTATAAACTAAACATCCTGTATGTTTTTGCTAAATCAGAAAGCTGTTTAATTCACACATGAAAGAGTAGGTTTATCATTTTTAATTAACACCTGGAGGAGGAATCCCCTGGATAGACATGAGCTCCCAGAGGTCTCAGAAGTAAGTCTGTCATGTAGCTGCTACATTGCTCCTCGACGCGCTTGCATTGGAGATTAAATAACTAATTCAATAAAAGTGCATATAAAAAAATAAATGCGTTATTTCCAGCTGAAGGAAGTTTTTTAAGTTTGTTAAATTTAGATGCAAGGCAGATTATTGTGTCTGGCAATAATCTATTCATTCTAACTGTTGAAAGTAGTGGAAACCAAGTGTGGTGGGTGTGTCTTGGTGTGACATTGGAGTGTGACCACAGGGAAAAGCAAAGAGAGGCTTTCTAGGTAAACTCAGTGTGCTTTGCTGCCCTCTCAGGAGCTGACCTGTCGCGAGGAACTGCTCACTCTGCTGCTGTCTTTACTCCCATTGGTCTGGAAGATTCCTGTGCAGGAGGAAAAAGCCCCAGGTCAGTGCCCACACATGACGTGTAATGTAACATTACCTAAAAAGTTTCCTTTAAATGTGTCCAATTCATAAGTATAAAATTAGCTAACCATTATAGTTACTCTGTTTCGTGTTCTAGCGTTTACATTATTCTTAAAAAAATGATTACTATCAAGCAATCCCAAAAAGTTGATTATGGGAGAAAAGAGACCGAAGAAGTCACTTGAATGAATGACGAAACGTTTCTCCCACTGAAAGTGCTACGTTCAGATGAACACAATCAGCTTTCTGGGATTTACTTACCTGGATGATTGAGTATCAAGCAGTCTTCCAGCATCAGGTTTGGTGGGTTTATCAGTAATATGCAAGAGTCTTTACCCATTGTTCATTTCTTTATATTTTCATTGGCGAATGGGGAAATGAATGCAAGGATTTATGGAAACATGTGCAGACACACATGGAAATAACATATATAAGTGAACATTAAAAGTTAGTGTTTTCACCTTTATTCTTTTGCACAGCTTTAGTTGAGCTTCTTTGTAATTTCTTTAAGTAGCCTTCAGGAATAGTTCTCCAGTTTCTTTGGATCTTTGCTGCCTTTTATTCTGTTCTCTGTTAAGACAATCCCACACTCCTTCAATAATGTCGAGGTCCTTGACCAATAGTCTTCAGCTGTGTTTTTCTATCCATGCTTATGCTTTTACTGCTCTGGCAGTGTGTTTGGGATCATTTTCAAGCTGAAAAATGAAGCCATTACCATAGTTTTTGCATTGATAATTAAATCTATTTTGAAAAGATCCCTAACACCACTAACTGAAATACAGCCCACAAAGCCCATAAACTCTGGAGAACTGCTGGTCAAGACCACTTTAAAAAAAAATTACAAAACTTTGTCTCCTTGGAAACAAAATCGATAAAAATTGGGGGGAAGCTCAAGAGTTTTGCACACTACTGTATGTGAAGACACTGAAATTGGTTTTGACTTTAAATTGCGTCTCTAATGTCCTTATTAAATTACTTATTTTTATTTCAGGGCTGTACTTGCACAACACAAACTTTCTACTGTACTTGTTTCACAACGGATTAATCAATTTTAACCATTTACGACATTGTGAATGATGTTAGTATTGCAAGCACAAGCAGCCACAGAACAGGAGAAAAGCAGTGATTACAGAGTCCTGTGACCTCCAGATGACACTGGCATTTAGTACAGGGCTGCCGATCCTTTCTAACATGCACCCTAGACATTTTTACTTTAATTAATTCTTGCTTACTGAGAGTTTGAGCAAACAAGGTACGGCTGTTGAGATGCAGCTGAGCATTACACTTAGGAAGTAATATTTTTGATATTTAAAAATAGATATTTGTCAGGCTGGTGTCTAACATTATGTGTCAAATACTAAAATGTGACATTTACAGCTGCTGAGTATACGTCTACAAGTATACTCAGCAGCTGTCTATAGGTAGTCCTATGAAAAATGTTGCTTTTTTGGTATTTGTACAGATAACATTTTGTACTCTTTGAAGCAATACCAATTAATACAAGTGTATTTAAACCCAAAATGTAACAACTTGACTGCATTAAACATTTGCCTATATTAAATCAGTAAATAAATATCAGACACTTGCAACAAAATACACCTGTACATATGTAACACTATCAGATCCACATAAATGGAATCCAGCATTTGTGAGATCTAGGGTGGGTTTTTTCCTTTCTGTGGGAGTTTGTGGTATAATCACTCCAGTCGCAGTCAGGTTTTAAGAGAAAACCTGAGGGGATACCTACGAGTTAGTCAGGGTGATTTAAAAGTATGTTAGTCATGGTACACATAACAATGATTGGCTCCAGCAAGTTCAGATCAAGATCACTTGATGCGTAAAAAGAAATGAATAATAAAAGGCCCAATGAACCCTCCCAGATTTTATCTCGGGATCTGCAGGTAACTATTTCAACTATCGGGGACAAAGTGCATGTATTTACAATCAGAAAGCAATAGAAAAATTTTAACTTGCATGGGTGCAGGGCCAATACAAGTCTTTTCTATCCAAAAACAACATTAAAGCTGCAGCTTGCCAGTGAACATATGGGCAAAGAGCTTACCTTTTGGAATATTGTGTGGTCACAGTAATGATAGGATGCAGAGCACAGGCCAAAGACAGCTTTTGATGAAAATAACCCCATTCAAACTGTGAAGCATGGTGGTGAAAATGGTACGGCTTGAGGTTGCTCCTCTGCCTCAGGGATTTGGCAGCTTGTTGGCAGGGCTTTAACTTTCATTTTTCACTATCAAAGCTTACTTGTTGATGATGATGTGAAGCTATTTGTAAATGGTAATAGGACTGGCACTTTTCTACTTAATCTGAGCACTCAAAGCGCAGTCTGAGTGCTCAGATTGTAGTCTGAATGTCTAAACAATGTAGGACCATTTAATAGGATAGTGCTTCTAAGGACTCAAAGAAATCAACCAAGGAATGGTACAAAAGCAAAAAAATGAGGTGGCGTTGAATGGCTTGGTCATAAAGAAAAAGACTTTCTATTCCATTCCATTTAGATTTGCTGGGGAAACCCTGTATAAGATTTTTTTTTCTTATACAGGGTGCCATAGTAGTTTGAAAGGTTACTATATTTTATCCACACAAGCATTTCACATCTATTGGTATTTTTGTTGAAAAGGTTTATTTTGGTCTTGTTTAGGTATGTCACCTTTATCTGTAGACACCAGGATCAAGTGCTTGTCTAAATATTAAAACAAACAAAAAAAACAATACTCTCACTTTGTGGGATTTTCTTACTTTTTTGCGATTTGCATGCACCTAGAACAAGTATGATAGATATGTATTCTATGTATTGACAGATTTCACCCTGCCGTCCCTGCTGGAGGTATTCCTGAACCGGGAGGTGAAGGCCATCCCTCTCAGAACAGGGCTGAAGGCTGCAACAGATGAGCAGACCTCTGGGAAGAGATCCCGTGTTGCCACCAGTACCTGGAAGTCACGGAGGTCCCGGCGGACAGCGCAGAGATACTCTGTGAAAGATGCTCGCAAGTCTCAGGTTTCTACCTCAGATTCAGAAGCCAACTCTGAAGACAAAACTGGCCCAGGTAGTGCACGGAGCCGAAGATCACATGGCTCTACCATCCAGGTAAGCTGTCAGCATCATCGATCAGACGCCTCGCAGTTCACGTCCACCGGCACCACCACAGAAACCATGAGTGCCCCATACCCACATCCCAGAGCCCCTGGATCCCAGATGGCTGACAGCGAAACCCTAACAGACCCAGCTGCAATATCAATATTCAATCGAATGGAAAACTCGCCTTTTGATCTCTGCCATGTGTTGCTTTCCTTGTTGGAGAAAGTGTGTAAATTTGACATGAGCATCAACCACAACCCTGGCCTGGCTGTCAGCGTTGTACCTACTCTCACAGAGATCCTTACTGAATTTGGAGATTGTTGTGGTCCAGGGGGTGGAGGAGGAGCAGGACCAGAGGAGCTTGCTGGAGGCTGGACAGAGGAGCCAATTGCACTAGTTCAGAGAATGCTACTACGAACCATCTTGCACCTGATGTCTGTGGATGTGAGTCAGAATGACAGCCTTCCAGACAGCCTGAGACGTAGTCTAACAGACCTGCTGCGAGCCACTCTCAAAATCCGGAGCTGCTTGGACAGACAGAGTAACCCTTTTGCTCCTCGGCCCAAGAAGACTCTACAGGAAGTACAGGATGACTTCTCATTCTCTCGTTATCGCCACAGAGCGCTACTGCTTCCAGAACTTTTAGAAGGAGTACTGCAAGTGCTGCTGGGTTGCCTGCAGGCTTCCACTCCCAACCCTTTTTTCTTTAGTCAGGCTCTAGAGCTCATCCATGAGTTTGTTCAGCACAGTGGCCTGGAGCTCTTTGAGACTACAGTGCTTCGACTGGAGGGACTTGGCAGAGCCAGAGATTCTAAAGTTGGAGGTGAAGCCTCAGAGAGGCTACGAGGCCTCATTGCAGGGGTCTTCAAGATTGTCAGTGCTGTAAAGAAGGCAAAGTCAGAGCAGCTGCATCAGTCTGTGTGTGCCCGAAGGCGCCATCGTCGCTGTGAATATTCCCACTTCCTGCATCATCACAGAGACTTGTCAGGTTTGCCCGTCTCTGCTTTCAAGCAAGCTGCTAGGCGCAACCCCTTTGAAGAGGATGGAGAAGGCGGAGGAGAGATGGAGGGTGAAGCAGTACGTTATCCTGAGCGCTGCTGCTGCTTGGCTGCCTGTGCCCACCAATGCCTGCGGCTCCTACAGCGCCTGTCCCCCAGCGGGCCAGGTGTGTTGCAGGTATTGGCTGGGGTGCAGGCTGTTGGAATCTGCTGTTGTATGGACCCCCGTTCAGTCGTAGGACCTTTACTCCACGCCTTTAAAGCTCCAGGGCTGCGTAGTTACCAGTCTCATGTTCTTAGTGTCCTGGGGAGACTGATCTTAGACCAGCTTGGTGGGGGACAGCCTTCAGAAAAAGCCAAGCTGGCCTCATGTAACATCTGCACTCTGGATAGCAGCCAGCTGCCAGGCCTGGAGGAGACATTGCAGCACGGGGAACCTTCAGCTATTTCTACCAGCCTGTGTTACCGCTCCCAGGGCATTCTGCCAAGTGGAGGGGGCACTGAGGATATGCTGTGGAAGTGGAATGCTCTGGAGGCCTACCAAGAGCTAGTGTTTGGTGAGGACTGGCAGCTTAGTCAGCAGATAGCTGGCCATGTGTGCCACCTAACTCAGAGGGGCAATGCTATAGTGCAGTGGCAGCTCTACACACACATCTTCAACCCTGTGCTGCAGAGAGGGGTAGAGCTAGCCCACCACGCCCAGCAACTGGGAGTTTCTGCTGTCTGTACTCAGGTCTGCAGCTATCACACGCAGTGCCTGCCAGTGGAGGTACTACTTGTTTACCTACAAACGTTACCATCGCTTCTCAAATCAAGGTGAGCTGGTTCACAGGTTTAGTTAGTTTATAATATAATTCTCAGTTTTCCCTCTTCGTGTTTGTGTGTGTGTGCGTGTGCGTGTGTGTGTTTTGTTAGATGTCAAAACCTCCTGAAAAAAAGCAGCACGTTCTTTGGTTATGAATATTTTCAGAAGCATTAGCCATTTATTTTATAAATTTCTTCTGAGAGACAAGTGATATAGATGTTTATTTCGATAGATATTGCATATTTCTTTCGTATGAAATGGATTCCTGTCCTTTTGATACAATGACCTAAAGCAAATATAATCCGCCAGTTCAAAGGAGGATACCTAATCTACTTGGAATTTCTTTGTCATTAGATCTATCCCTCCAGGTCATTGCTAATTAATGCTAATCAATAATTTAGCACTGCTTTGTGAACTCAGCGAGATGGAGAGGATTATTGACAGTTTATGTAAGAGTGTCGTGAGTACAGTAGCATAACATAGCAGAGGCAGATAATGTTTGTTCATGTGCTTTTATCAAAATGCTGGCAAATGTGAAGTTGTGTAAAACTGTATTTTTGGTTTTTGGTGTGGATATTCTCAGTTATCTGTAGAATTCTGAGATGTTGAGACAATCCAGAGACATACAGGTTAAGTAAACTCTGAAACGCCCATAGAATGGGACGTGCAGAGGTTTGTGCCTGTGTGTTAACCCAGGTGACCTGCCTAGATTACATCTCAGCGGCCGCTCTACACATGCTGTGATTGGTTGCATGTTCTTGCGACCCTCAGCAAGATCGGGAGTGTTAAAAAATAGATGGCTGGATGCTTTGAGATGTTTTGTCAGCAGTAGGCTGATAGATTTCCTTATTAAAATTCAGAGAGTTCTCTGCTCTCTACAGGTTTGACTGACATCTGTGATGGGTTTGGTTTTTTTCTCTCTTTTAACCAATCCTCTGAATTACATTTTACAACTCTTTAGAGCATAACAATAAACTACTCATATCAATGAGGTGTCTGATAAAATATTTATTGATAAAAAGTCCACATGTGTTTTAACAAGAAAAAACATTAATAGCCCAATAGCTAATCAGTTTAACTCTGCTGCTATTTTTTCATTATGTTAATTTTTTTTGAGACAAAATGCACAACAATTTACTTTTAGATTCAGAAAAGCAGGAATCAAAATTCTCAGCTTGTGTCGAGACTTTTAGTTTAATTAATAGACTATAAATGTAGATCTATAAGTTTATATAAACAAGTTTTCACTTATCCTCAAAGCCCAAATAAAGGGGTATAACATTTACAATTAAAACTCTCTTTTATGTTTTCTGCAGCAACTTTAAGGTTTTTGTGCCATATTCAGTTGTTTGGTATGCAATGGATGTAGTTGTAGATCTAGTTGTATTGGTCTGTTTTATTATAACCTCAGCTCACAGAACGCAGGATAGTTAGTGCGTGGCTTACTAAGATGTTAAATCTGTACTGGTCTCAAGGATGAAATTAAACGACCACATTTCCCCATGAAGTCTGCAGCATTACTCCATGACAGGCTCCAAATTAAAAAGTCTTTATTGGTACTGAATTTGCAGTTGCATATGGTCAGACCTCACATCTTTGCACATGGTCACTCTCGCTAGGTTAGACTATACAGCTCCATCTACTGGGCTATATACATATTAGTTCCAAATATAGCTGCAAAGTTAGCTGGCTGCAAAGCGGTGATTAACTTGTGTTGTTTAGGTTGGCAGACAGATGGAAATTAGGCGAAATAGGATCCACAGATCATTTGATTTGGGGCACATTCATGTATGAGTTACACAAATTGGAGCTTCAGAGCCTTCAGTACTGCGGGAAAAGGTTTGAGCGACATGTGTCAGATTTTTCTGTCTTTCGTGGTCTCACAAACCGAGCGATTGAATCGATGAGGACTGAATTTTAATATTTGTGTGATCATCCTTCACGTGGATGGGCAAAACCAATTCTACTTAAGTGGTTTTTACATCACCTTATTATGCAGTCTGCTCATGCAGGAAAAGTTATCGAAAGATAACCTGAAAGACGAGCAGCTTTTCTTCAAAGTTGGACATCATCTGATGCATTGCCCGCCACTGCATCATCTCCTGCTCTCGTTTCGGTTTCTGCGTAACAGGAATCATATTTTTCAGAAGTGAGCATTAAATATTCAGACTAATGAATAGCCATTCTGATGGAGTTTCAGACCACTAATGAAAGGAGGAAATGTTGTGAAGAAGCAGATTTAATCAACGCTACATTTATTTAGAGGAAGACTGGAGAAAATGGGTTTAAATTGGTGAAAAGAAATCAACAAGTTAATAATCTGTTAAATTTGTTTTGTGTTTCACGCTCCCATCCTCAAAGCTCTAACTGAACATCTGTGTCACCGCACACTGCAGAGAAAACTCCATGCTGAGATTAAAGTGGTTGTTTTTTGTTTTTTTGTGGGATTTCAGTCCGTTTGTAATGTTAGCACTTCTCTCAAGTTGTTTTTCCACACCAAATGTTGATTTCACTCAGAGGTGACGCTTTATTCGTTCACCATAATTTACCTTGTGCTGTGATAGCGTCATTTATTATTCATCACAGCCTCAGTAGTGTGTGTATATCACCAGTAAACAAATTTAAAAGGGTAAGGTGTCAGCTGTGTTTTCCCAGTAAATATATGATTTGCCTTAAGATAACAAGTCGTGAATTTGTCTTTCATGTTGCTCAATAGAATAAACATGAAGCAGAAAAGACATTGGAGAACAAAGAAAACGCAGTAAATAAAGACTAGCAGGTGTGTCCGTGTGCATTATTGTAGATGATGACTTATTTATGTAAAGGTGTTGTGCTGGAGAGAGAATTATTTCTGCAACCTGAAGAGAACAAATGGAGTTGGCGTGTGAAGGCTCCTGCGTGATGAGGTTTTTTTTCTGTCACTGGCTGGTTACAGCACTTGTCTGATTGAACTGAGCGGTGCTTTTTATTTTAATAAGGGAGCGCTGCGGTAGGAGGTATTTGTGTGCACTCTACACATCTACCCGAGTTGTCAGCATGTTGTTTATTTTGCTGGCTAATAAGAAGTACAACTCCAGTTCCAAAAAAAGTTGGGATGCTCTGGAAAATGCAAATAACAGAATGCAATGATGTGCAGATTTCATAAGCCCATATTAAATTTGCAGCAGAAGATAGAAAACGTATGTTTAAACTGAGAAAACATACAATTTCAAGAAAAAGGTTATTTTTAATTTGATGGCAGCAACACGGCTTGAAAAAGTTGGAACAGGGTCATGTTCACAATCACGTAGCATCTCCTCTTCTTTTAATAACAGTCCATAAACATCTGTGAAATGAGCTGCTGGAGAGAAATGTTGTCCCATTCTTATCTGATACAGGATTCTAGCTGCTCAACAGTCCTGGATCTTTGTCGCGCTTTCCATTTCATGATACACTAAATGTTTTCAATTGGTGAAATGTCCTCAGCACCTGGATTCTTCTACTATGGAGCCATGCTGTTGTAGTAGATGTAGTATGCAGTTTAGACCTTCCCTAAAAAGGCATTGTCTGGATAGGAGCATATGTTGCTCTAAAACCCGGATATGCATTTCAGCAGTGATGGTGCTTTTCCAGATGTGCAGTACCATAGGCACTGAGGCACCCCCATACCATCAGACAGGCTTTTAAATTGAACGCTGATAACAAATCAAATATTCCCTCTCCTCTTTAGTCCAGAGGGTGTGATGTCCATAGTTTTCAGAAAGACTTGGTACATTTTCTAAGTACAAATATTTTATATGTTTTATATGTTCTGTTGTCATTAATAATAATTCATGGCATTCTGTTTTTATTTACATTTTACATAGCTTCTCATCTTTTTTGGTGTTGGGTTTATATATATATATATATACACACCCATTCTTTATGAGGGAGGTAATAAATGACACAGTGCATTTTAATGTGAAAAACAACTTATTAAAATGTCCTTTTTGTTTAACTTAGTTTCTCATCTTTTGTATTATAGGGTGATCAGAGACCTTTTTATTAGCTGTAATGGACTCAACCAGGTGACAGAGCTTGTCTACTTGGACCAGACACGCTCTTTAGCTTTGAAGGTGTTTGAGACTCTGATAATAGGCAGTGGAAAGCAGCAGGCTGAGGGGGTGCTTCAGGAGCTGGAGAGTGCTGATGCTGAAGAAAGGGAGGCTGTCTTAGGCCTGGCTGAGGAACTGGGGTCCAGAGGCATCGGAGAGGGCGCACAGAGTCTCAGCAAGTTCTATGAAGGCCTGAAGGAGGCTTATCCACGACATAAGAGCCGTAGCGGCCAGGCTCGTGGACCGGGGCGCAGCCGAACAGAGATCCATCTCCATGTTATCAATCTTTTTCTATGTGTGGCCTTCCTCTGCGTCAGCAAGGAGGCAGATTCTGACCGGGACTCAGCCAATGACTCCGAAGACACTTCGGGTTATGACAGTACAGCGAGTGAACCTCTGGGTGGACGGCTGCCATATCTGTCCCCAGACAGTGTAGCCCTGCCCTCTAAAGAGCAGCTACGACGCGCCGCTGATGTTTGGTCAGTGTGTCGGTGGATCTACCTGGCCAGCCCTTTGTTCCAGAGACAGTTCTTCAGGCTGGGTGGACTGGATGTCTGTTTGCGCCTTATGGCAATGGTCATTCAGAAGCTCTCCTGTAAAACGAAGGATGGAAAAGCAAAGAAGAAGAGAGACGGCAAAGGTAAAGGCAGCCCCGATTCCACAGCCACTTCACTGGGACTGGAGGAGACTTCTCATGATGCATCTGAAACCAGCAGCACCAGTCCAGCTGAAGGAAAGACCAAAGATCCATCAAAGAAACTTGAGGAAGAATGGCAACTTCAAAGTATTCGTCTCCTTGAGGCTTTGCTGGCTATTTGCCTACACAGTGCTAACTCAGCCCTGCAGAGGATAGAGCCTGAGCTTTCTTATCAGGTATGTTGAGCAATGTGTTTAATTAACTAACCCCTAAACAGGCCAAATACGCAAAAAATTACTTTGGCTTAACTTAAAGTGTCATGTCCTCTCGATTATAGCTCCATTCAGTGGAGGATACCTTGTTAGAAGTGAGAGACCAGCTCTCTCGGTCTGGAGTGGTGAACTCTGACCTTGCCATACCCCTGTTTGACTCTCTCCTGAGAGTGGCCTTGGCTGAGGTGTCATCCTGTCCCGATCCCCCTGAGGAGAAGCCAGAGAGGGTGAGTCCTGCCTTGGGAGAACCTGTGAGACAATAAATATTCTCCACTTTCATGAAACACTCATGTATAAAGAGACATGAGGTGCCGTCATTGTTGATCACATCTAATCACTCTATAAAGCTTTTGGCAAAATGTCTCTCCATTATTTGTTCGGCTGAATTCCATTTACTCATTAAAATTAATCTTTTTTAAATCTCTTTTTAAAACCATTTGTTTTCGCTTGCACAATATGTGCCTGTTTTCACACTACTAAAAAGTCACTCATGAAATAAATATTTCAAATGACTATATTATGGCACTAAATGAAAGCTGCTATAGGTTCATTTATTGACCTTTTGTTGAGCAGTTAGTATCTTGGAGGCCTTTATTGCCCATATCTGTCCTGTTGACTCTAAAAACAACAGGCATACTTTCCTGCCTGTTTTTTACTTCTCTGTCTTTTATGTTACTGTTTTTCTCACTCTTTTAACAAATTCCAGAGATAATTCCTACTGATTTCAGCAACTTGGCAGAAGGGCAAAACAAAAGGGCAAATGCCTTCAAAGGTTTCAGGCAGGGCTGAGAACTAGAGAGAGAGTTGAGAGCCTGTGTGATCAGAAACAACTGCATTTTCTTGTGTGTGACCCCATGTTATTAACTCATCATCTCCCACCAGCAGCCACTATTAACCAGTCAGACGGACAATAACATGCAGTGCAAACACGAGTGAAAATTGTATGTTTCTTTTTGCTGCCTCTTTTGTCTGCAGAGTGAAGTATCTGTGCATCTACAGCGTGTGTTTGAGCACCGTGGTAAAATATAATGAGCAGTGGTGTTTATTTAAGAGGCAAGCGTACAATGAGAGGAAAACCATTTTCCACCCAAGTGTTATCAAGCATCAGTACTGCCGTGTAAGGCCACTCGCACTATGTTGCTAAGCAGCTGTTATCAGCCTGATGTACAACAACAGAAACGGCGAACGTAAATAATTGTAGCCCTTGTGTGGAGCCAGCAGCGGATGCAGCCTCATTTTGAAACCCAGCATGCTGCTGATGTTTCTTTGTTTTAGTGGATTTTACACTCTTCTGTCAGCTCTTCAGACAGACTTAGTTTAATTAACATATTGAAAACATTTTTTAATTCAATCAGTTATCTTCACACATGTTGACAGTTTCTCATTTGCTCAGTACAGATGGGCCTCTACAAACTCTCACCTCCTTAGCAGTGCCACTATCAGTGCAGGCTTTGTAAAGCGTTATTTAAGATTCACAAGAGACATGAATCTGTTTTTTCATTTATTCCATAAATAAGGCAAACACAAACGAAAAGAAGCCGTCCGCACTTACATGACTGAAAGTAACCGTCTCATGTCTCTCAGCCCTAGACGTGTTTTCTTCAAGTCTTAAAATGCCTGTCTGACTAAGCCTGTTCCAACACAGGAGGATTTGGCTTTTTATATAATAGATTTACCTATTTCCTAAGAGCTTAGTTCTTTCTCAGTGAGCACTGGCAGACTGTGATGTTCGCTTAACCATTACAAGTATGTGCTTGAAGCACCGAGATTAGTCTTCCACCGCAAAGTTTGTCCACTGATTTAGACCAGTCTTTTAAAATGTTCACCCACAATTAAATATAAAAGCAGCCTCATATTAGTTTCGAAGGAATAGAGGTGTGTGATGCAAAAAGCCTCTTTGAACCAGGAAATGGTTTAGTTTGTCAGTTTACGTGTGTGTGTGTTTGCCTACATGCACATATGATGACTGTTCATGTCGAGGAACTGGGGCTGTGTGAGCGCCTTGCAGGTCAGCTGATATTTGTCTTATGACTAAAAATCTTGTACTTTCTTTTTCCCCTGTTTTGAGGGCAGTCGATTCGCCGCATCAGGCATGACACTCCATGTCATGCCTTTTACACTTTACCCTAAAAATACTCGATCGAGGAATTTTTTTTTTTTTCTTTCTTTTTTTAAAAGCAGCATTGGGTAAGCTCTTATGAAAGCAATCTTATCTTAAGTGCTTGAAAGTTAACCAGCCGTTGAACTTGGAGTGTATGGGATTGAAATTCATGATTTTTTTTTTCTTCTTCTTATTCCTACCTCCTCCTCTGCCTCACTTGCTCTTTCACTCTCTTCTTGCCAGAAGCTCCAGGTGTTGGCGGAGGGGGCGGCCCCAGCGGGCGATCTGTCTGAGGAGGTGGACGAGGTGCAGAGCTGCGGCGGCAAGCCCCCAGGGGAGGAGGAGGGCTACGACGCTGACAGCGAAAGCAACCCAGAGGACATGGCCAAGCAGGAAGAGGGTAGGTCCACACTTACTGCCACACTACCACACACACGCATGCTTTTATTCTCACTTACTCCTCCTCAAGGATCCATAGCTGCTGCACATACCAAACCACTTCAGATATTGTTACTGAGGCTGGTTGCAGTTCACACTTATATGAGTCTTATTACTTTTCACTGCCTATTCATTTTTCAGTTTATTTTCTGAACGCTATAAATCATTTTTACTTCAGATGTTTGTCTTCTCTGCATCTTGTTTTTATTGGCTATAACAACAACAGACTAACCTCGCTGGATTGAGAGGTCATGGGACCGTTATAACCTCTAAACCTGCTTGTTTTGAGTCTTGGGAAATCTTGTTTCTCACACTGTTAACTGTTTATTCGGTCTTTTTGCTGAATGATTAGTCCTTTCTGGAGTTCCGTGCATTCACTGGATGCTCTTTTTTTCAGTGCAAATGCACATACAGACAGTTACTTCTATAATAAAGAAAAAAAACAACATCCTCCTTTGGTGTGCTGTGGAGGATGTGAAGCAATAAACGGTGGCTAGTTTTTAATTCATGCATATGACAAGGCAGAAAATGCGTTTAACCTCTTGTGTCAGCTCTGTTTCACCGCTTGCAGGTTAAAGACACGGCCCGATTACACTATTTTTGCTTCATCTCCTCAGAATAAAGTCATTGTTTTACGTTTTACAACTGCAGGCAACTAAATTCTTTTGGCCTCATGAGCTAGATCCTGTGACTTAAAGTCTTCATCAGATGGAAATTTTAGCTTCCCGGAAAACTCTTATGTCATGAGAAACAGAATCTTTAACCTTGAGTCATATTGAGCAAACCAACTTCAACTTCACAATGCAGTGCTATTTATTTGGTAATTAGCCCTATCTCGTGTTTCTGTAAAATCAAACCACTTATTTCCACTGAAAATCCTTTTTCAATAGTACATAGCTCAACTTAGGTAACTGAGCACAAGCACCAATGACTGTTCCTTTTTTCACACTCAATTAAAACTTGATCCTTTTTCCTGTATTTTTTTTAATCTAGCATTACAGCAATTCAAAATTATTTCTAATATTTAATAATAAAAATGTTTATTCCAGAATTTCTCTCCTCAAGCTGTTCTCGTTTTGTCCAAATTGGCTCCTGTAGCTGCTGCCTCCTCACATTTCCTGGTCTCTTAGCGGCGTTTACACTGCTCCAGATCCTTGTGTTTATTAGTTTGAGGTTAATTGAAAGGATAAAGACCATAAACATAGCGAAACGTGACGTGAAATGCATACTGTAGACTTTCTGCAATTAAATTTAACCACAGACCAAACACAAGCATCAGTATAATGCACTATCAAGGCAGACAGGTATGACAGTTGGTACGTGGCTTTTAGTTTATATTTACTGCTAGCAATATGTGACTGGATGTGTGTGTGTGGTAGATTGTAACAAAGCGTGTAGCGGTGCACAGGAAGACAACCAAGCTTCTTTAATTAAAAGGAGTTTCTAGGAGCCGTGTGAGAGCCTGCTGGACTGCTTTCCTTGAAAACATGAGGCAGCTCTGCAGCTGAGCACAGAACTGAGGCAAATTCATTTTTATGCTCTACCTCCAAGAACCCAAGAGAGGGAATGCCTTTGAATCATGGTGCTGTTCAAGGAGCAGAGGGTGGCATATTGTGCCTGTGCTTTAGCAAGGCAGGCAGTGCATGCCAATCTCTTGTTTGTGTCTCTGATCTTCTTCTGTTGGGTTTCTTAGGTTTAAAGGTGGAGCCAGCCGTATTGCATGAGTTTGTAGCGGTGACAGACAGGCCCGGGCGAGGCGCGCTCCTGTTCCCAGAGATCTGTACGATGGAGTTGCAGCTACTTGCCTCTGGCTCCCCAGACCTGGAGGTTCTGAGTCATGTGTTTCACAGCCTGCTCAGTGCAGTACACGCCAATCACCACAATGCTGCTCTCCTCTATGACCAGGTCCCGCCAACCACAGTTTCCTCTTTGTGCTACACTTAACCACCTCCCGTATTTGTCTTACTTTACTACTCAGCTGTGGTCTGAAGAAAATGACTGACTGCTTTGTTCCTGTTTTCACAGGGAGGAGTCAAAACTATCCTGTCTGGCTTTCACAACATTCTCAGTCAAACAAACCACTCGTTCACAGGTTTGTTCTTCATCCCGCTTTATTTTTTTTCTGTCTTATCTGATCTAAACACATATTTTTCATGTGTGACGTCTCAGGAGGAGGGGAGCCCTCTCAGTTTGCTGTTTTCCTGAGATTTTTTCTGCTTCTGACATTTCAGCTGGGTCCCCTGGGCTCAGTGTCATGTTTTATCATAGGTACCTTTAGTAGTTCTTAGTCAGTCTTACCCGGTGGGCTTCTTTGGAACTTAAGTTGATCTTATTTGACATTATAATATCATGATGTCCAAAATCTAAAGGAAAAACAAGATAAGTGTTTGCTCTCTGTGGTGTTGGGGAGGATTTTTGTCCTTGGGATATTTTGTCAGCCAATTTCTAATGGCTAAAACATCAAATACAACATAGATTACATTCACAATTATTGAGAAAGCTTAAGAAAAATCATCTATTTTCTGTGGTAAGAAATTATTCTGATGCCTGCCAAAATGCGATGATAACTCTTTATGTAATCTGCTCTTCATTGGTCTACATTCAGATTGCCAGACTGTGCTTGTGGAGCTGCTGGTTGCCATGGTGAGCCAGAGGATCACAGCTGAGGAACTTGCTCTATTGAGTCGCCTCTTCCTGGAGAAGACCCCACCTACTGTAAATAGCCATCTCCTATCAGTCACTCAACAGTGTGCTGTTTGCTTGCACTCGTGATGCCTGACACTGATGTCTTCTTGTTCTCAGTGCCTGCATGCTTTTGCTTGTTTTAAAGCAGGAACAAGAATCTATTTTTAACACACCGTGCTGTCAGCTTCTCTTCTCACTTCTTGCCGCTTTAAAATGTATCAACACATAATGCTCCCTTAGGTAGCTTCATTCTGTATACAATTAACACCAAAGTGTGCAGAACAGATGTAATACTAGTACTTATTAACACACGTCTGCATTTAATTGGAATTCAGACGTCTATGAGAGCAGACAGGAAGGATTTATTTTTAACACCTTCAAGGCAAGTTAATTTTGTCATCTGTGAGGATAACACACAACTCTTTGTGCTTAGCTGTATTCATCTGCATTCTTCATGGTTTGTTTGCTGGTTTTTATCAATATTCTGCAGGTTTACTATGGATCACAGATAAATCAGTTACATTTCTTAGTGTATTAGCTTTTATGGGGGGGCTTGGTTTTGTTTTGTTTTTTTTAAAGGAGGCATATCTCTTTATTGGGTGTGTCAGGACACCCGCTGTGAAAATCGGCACGATCAAATATTTGGGGCTACCCATTGTGGCAACCCCTTGTGAATAAGAGAGCAGCTGAAAACAGCTTTAAGTTTAGGGTTACAAAAAAGCCCAGATTTAAGTGTTTTTTGCATCAAATTTAAAACAGTTCCCCTAACTTCACTTTTACTTTGTTACCTCCCAGGAGATTTTACTGAAGGGCATCTTACAAATTGTCGAAGCCAACATGAACATCGAACCTCTACACTTTCTGAGTTTTCCGATAATCCTTGGGGCTTCGACTCCGGGAGTGTTTTCCCCCAGCTCCAGACAGAACTGTGCCGCCGGAGGGAAAAGTGTTGGTTTGCCCTGGAAGAGCAAGCTGTCTCCAGGCCGTAGGGAGGGAGAAGCTGAGTACCAACCGAGCCACCTGCGCACCTCTCCCTGGCACATCGCCCCTCTCCACCTGCCCTTAGTTGGACAGAACTGCTGGCCCCATATGGCCAGCGGCTTCAGTACCTCTATATGGCTGAGGGTGGCCGAGCAGGGAGCGAAGGACGGGGACAAAAACAGGGGTGAGGCAGAACTCCTTTACTAAGAATCCTTTGTGCATGATGCCCATGAACACGAATCGTTTTTGACATTCTCTGATTATTGTTTTCCAGAAGAAAGTAACCCTCCTGCAGCTGAGTTGCACCATGCGTCATCTCAGGCAGGGACAAGATTGCTAGAGGAAGGACTCATTCATATTCTATCCATGGGCTCCAAGGCACTGATGCTTCAAGTGTGGGCAGACTTCTCTACAGGCTCTCTCACTTTTAGGTGAGCTCCAAGGAGTGCAGTCTCAAAGTAGTGTCAAAAGAATGAAGTGCTGTTTCTTAAGTATTCAGATTTTCTTGGACTTTAAGTATTCTAATATATTTCTTTTCCTCAGGATTTGTATAGACCCCAACGATGAGATAAAAGCAGGCCTGTTGGCACAGGCAGACTCAGCTGAGGGCCTGTTCAGTGGGGGCCAGTGGCAACACCTTGCCCTCACTTACAGCCAGCAGCCGGAGGGAAAGAAGAACGTCCACGGCCGCGTGGTCGTCTGGGTGTCTGGAATCTGGTGAGGAAAACTGACCGAAATGTAAGCTGTCGTTTGGCTCGCATGGTTTGATAAATAATTAAAATTCAGTCCAAACTGCCATTTTCTGTAGGAAGTGTGAAGTTTCTTTGGATTACACCCTACCCAGAAAGTCCAGTTTATCATCTGACAGCAACAAAACCTTCTGCATGTTGGGCCACTGTGTGCCATCCTCAGAGGAGATGGGAACACGCTGGAACATGGGCACTGTGCTACTCTTCAACGGTAGGGCTCCTATTAAACTGAACTGAAGATAGTGTCTGTAATATCATACTCAGACATGCGCACTGCAGTCCGTTTTAATTGTTTAACTGCCCTCAGTGCTGCTCTCTGGTGGCACATTGATTATCACCTTCACTTTTACAAAGCAGTAGAAACTGTAGAAATGCTTTGTGATGCATTTGTATTTTGCAGCTGTAGAAGGCTGCGCGTGTGATGTGTGGCGTGCTGTGGATTCTCAGCATTCTCTCGGGAGGCTTACTGAATACTTCTCTGGTTACCTCTAATTGGCTGTGAAAGCCTTGCATCTAGGCGCTCTCGACCTATGAGCCCAACTGATGTGTTTAGACAAGCTTGGCCTCTCCGCTGTGGTTGGAATTCATTGTGTGTAGCAGGTTCTTCTTTGAAAAGCAGGACTGAAAGTATCAAGAAAAAAAGTTGACCAGGACACCTCGGGAGTCTTGCATTGCATCAGCTCATGTGTTATTAATTTGCAGCGTATTAGTGGAATCATATAAATCATTAACTCTTTGAGTTCATTCAGGCTTTAATTTGGATTTCTCACAAATCAATTTTACAGCTTCTGGATTGCACAAACACACAAAGATATTCCTTAAGAGAGAGGATATTCCCTTTTCCTAAGTCAAATAATAATAGATGTTTGCATGCCTCTTCTCAGGGTCTAGAATAGGATCTGAGGAGGCCTTCTACCTGTACACGAGTGGACCAGATCTCACCTCGATCATGCCCTGCAAGTATGGCAAACCCAGTGTAACATTCTCCAAGTTTGTCACCCAGGAAGGTCTGAAGTGTGAGCACGTGAGAGAGATTTTAATGAAGAGCAAGGATGTAGACACAACAACTTTGGTCGTAAGTCTCTCTTTTTTAACACGAGGCATTAAAACATCAGCCGTGTCACAAAAAGTGTAATTATGAAATGAAGCCAGAAAAAAAAATGTTGCCGTGTTTGTTCATCTCTCACTCAATTCCTGCAATGCCCGCCGCCGACCCCTCTACTTATGCAGGGTGATTCAAGTGCTCTGTTAGCGTGGCAAATCCCCCCTATGTCTCATTTATTGTTTCATTTCACGGTGTATGAGTTATGTGCTGTTCCAATTAGCTGTCATTAATGATACTGCATGGTAGGAAGTAATTTGTCCCAAATGGGGAAAAACAACTATTATAGTTAAGCTGCAGTTATTTTAGTCAGACTGAAAATAGTTTTTCTCCCATTAAGTGGGAATTGCTTTGTTGATAATAGCTCATTTTTAGCTAATAGCTAAAAAAAGAAAAGCCAAGATGATAAGAATAAATGTTTGGCCATTTTTTTTGTAACTTACTGTTAAATCTAACAACCCTTGCCCTGGTGTACATTTGTACCCTATTTGAGGACATTTTGGCTCCTTATTTATTTATTTTTTAAAGTACTTTATATCTAATATCCTAAATCAAGTATCAACAAATTTCCCACGTGTGGGACTAATAAAGGTTATCTTATCTTAAGATATTACTTTTTTCCCAAAAAAGATAATTGTGTGCGTTGGTTTCTGCACAGGAGAGCCTGGCGGTCGTGTACGCCCCCAGCAGTCCGAGAGTCTACACAATTTATGAGCCTGTAATCAGACTGAAAGGTCAAGCAAAGACTGTGGTTACCCAGCGGCCCTTCAGCTCCAAAGAGGTGCAAAGTGTTTCCCTGGAGTCCAGTGCTCTCAGAGCTCTGCTCCCCACCGAAACCCACGGCCTGCAGAGTGTCCTGCACAAGATCGGAGGAACTGGAACTTTTGTCTTCCTCTTTGCACAGGTGGGATGATTTAACCATTTCCCACCCAAGTGTCATACAGGCTGCCTGGACTTATTTTGTAATTTTGGCTTTAAAATTGCTACATAATTCTCAGCTTTCAAGAACTATTTGAATTTTCTCTCTAGCCCAAAATAGTTGAGGAGTTACAGTAATGTGAGGCACATATGGTAAAATCTAGAACCTGATTTTTCTGTCTGTGTGCACGCACACAGCAGTATCTCGTGAATGCTTTGTGCTACCGTTATACACCAAATATCTCCATAAAGCTCATCTTCTCTTCTTTCCGAAACCAGTTGGGGTTTCTTTCTGACACAAACTGTAACAGAGTTATGATTATTTAAAGAGACCCAAAATAAGTAAAGGGTTAAATGTGAAGGGCAAAGCCTATATATAATATGTATGCAATTTGATTGCAGTATGTAGGAGAAAGAAGGCTCTTGAATGACTTTGGAGAATTTTTGTATTTGATTAATTATATTCCAGGCCAACTGATGAGGTGCCCATTAGTTCAGCTTCATTCATAAAGAAAGCATTTGACATTATTTTGTGCTTCTGTGAGATCTCAGTGGCCACAGCAGGCCCTCATGTTCACTCCGTTTTGTTTTTTCCCCCTTCGCCTCCTCTGGCACCGTTGTGTCCAGACAGTGGAGCTCAGTGACTGTGAGAAGACCCAGGCTCTGGCCCTGCAAGTGCTGCTGTCGCTGTCCAAATTTAACCAACACCGCATCCACGAAATGGACTGTTACCATGGTTACTCCATGATCCATCAGGTCCTCATCAAGCCCAAATGCATCGTAGGATATCACATGTTGAAAGTGAGTCACACCTTGAACTCTTGTCTTCTGTCCCTGCAGCCTCAGCTGATCTGCACAGTAAAATATATCCTCTATTTATTTGATTTTTGGGGGGCCATGAATCTGATCTGGCCCGACACACTGGTTCCTCTCTGAGCCGGTGTTGGTGACCCTGCTGTTACTTGACCCTCTGGCTGTGTCTGTAATTGAGCTGTGTGATGGCTCTGGCTGAAATGCATTGTGTCTGACTTGATGAAACACCGAGCTCCTGCAGAGTAACACAGCAACTCTGATTGCATTTGTCACTTTAGGCTTTCTCATCCTGTATTGTATAGCATAGAACTGCACTGATTAGTGGCATTAAATTCCCATGATCATTCCTATATAAAAGGAACACGCTGTGCTACAGTTGTTGATAGTTTCCATTTGTACCTTTCACTTCATGCTGTAAAAGAAATCTAATTCTGGTACCTTTCTTAAACTGGGGTAGTTACATTGTTAACCTGCATCTTAATGTTTTAACTGAGTGCAAGGCTGCAAGCTTCTGTCTTCTAGTAACAAAATGTACCAGAGACATAAAGGACTGCAAGATTTATGACCACTGCAGTGAATCTGGTCACAAATGATATTCTTTGATCGATACAGACAGGGCTGCTCGTGGAGTAAATGGAATTAGTTTTGACTGAGTTGACTGAGTGATAAGCACTCCAAATATTTCATGGAGAATGTATTGATTTTCTTCCTGCTTGAGATTCAGAACTAGAGATTATCAATATGTTGAGGTGTGTTTCTGATGAGAGTGAACGGAGCCCTGTGAGTTATTATCACAGAAACTCTACAGAAGTCGTTGCGTTTCTGACGGCCACGATTTTTCTTGCTAGACTTTACTCGATGGGTGTTGCAGTGGACCCATCCTCATCCTCGGAGAAGACGGTCAGTTCCATTTGGACGCGGAGTCTGTGGCCGTGGTTCAGGATTTAAGGCTTCTCTCAGACATTCTGTTGGATTGGAAGATCTGGGCCAAGGCGGAGGTAAAGACTGCATTACAATTAAATGTAACTATGGCACACAGTCTAATTCAATTACATCGTTTTTGGTCAGGTCCATCACGTCCAAAAGCAACATCCATGTATTTGCACACATATATTTTCTTAAGAACAGTTTTTATCATTTAGCATTTACATCAAAAAGAAGCTGTAACATTACATCAAGTTAAAGTCCATCGCCCTTCGTGCGAGGATATCTGTAATGTAAACATCCAGAAAGCCTCTCTCCTCCTTAATAACAACTCATCATCTCCACTCTCCTCGGTGGAAATAAGTAGAGCATAAATAAATAATGTATGATGTTTTTGAAGGACACTGTGTCTAACAAAGGCAGACAAAACATGAAAAACTAAGCAGGTGAAGATGAGCAATCACACATTCATTACTGTGAGGATACTTCAAATGAGCTGCATTTCTAATGCAGTTTGTTCAAGATCTAATCATTCATTTTCTCATCACACCTGAAGGTACAGTTGTCTTTTTTTCTGAATGACTTTTGTGAATCTCAGCGTTTCTGGTTTTTTCAGGGTCTGTTCATTTATTTATTTATTGTTATTGATATCCACTCCTGAACAGACAGAAAGCTTAAAACATTATCAGCTAAATGATGAGCTTCTTAGAAATTCATACATTAACTCTAGTGGCCATAGTCACTGATTTTAGTTCTCCCACAAAATCCCCGCGGCCTCTGAAGCGTTTTAAGGTTTTATCTTCTGGTGAATCAAATGTTTTCGGAGAAAGCATCAGTTAGTGGTTATTCCTGCAGTTTTTGTGCTGCAGACGACATTTTTTAAAATCAAAGAGTCCGTGATGATTCTTTCCAGAACTGTTTTACTGTCTCAGCCGTCATATGGTGTCATTTACTCTTTGTGTCAGTGCGGAGTGTGGGAGACGCTGCTCGCTGCCTTAGAGATCCTCATCAGGGTTCACCACCCTCATCAGGTCTTTAACATCCGTCAGTTCCTCAAGGCTGAAGTAGTGCATCGCTTCCTGCTCACCTGTCAGGTATTACAGGTAGGTCGCTGCCACAGAGCTGCTTCACATTCCCTTCCCTCTTCCTTCCTTTTTATTTTAAATATCGTGTTTGTTTTAAGGAACATCGGGATGAGCATCTCACAGCGATCCCACAGGAGGTGTCTTTGTCATTCATCAAAATCATCCAGGAAGTACTCGGGTCTCCTCCGGACATGGATCTGCTAAAACTGATCTATAACTTCCTGATGGCAGTGCACCCACCTACCAACACCTACGTCTGCCACACTCCATCCACCTTCTACTTCTCACTGCATATAGGTGAGGAAGCGGTTGCAGCTAAGCGCACCGGCTCCATATCAAAGATCCATTAACCTAATGTGCCATGTTCCTTTGATGTTTCTCTGTCAGATGGGAAGCTGTACCAGGAGAAGGTGCAGTCCATTATGTACCTAAGACACTCCAACAGCGGAGGAAAGTCTGCCAGCAGCTCTGTGGTGTCGCTCTCCCCGACTGCTTTCGCCGATGCTCCTCATGACGGTACAGCTGCTCCAACTAAACACCAACCTTAATGCACTCCCAGTACCCTAACACAGCAGATAATTAAATACAGACCTCAGGTTGTTGCTTTGAATGATATTATAAATCGAAAGCTCAGCAGTGCTTTTATGAGAGTATGTGCCTCTAACAAAGGAAATTTGTTTAACATGTTTAGTGCTGTATCAGCCTGATTATGTTGGGTTTTTCCCCCTCACTCTGTGATGAATTGGTCTCAAAAGTTTTATTTTAAGAACTTAATGTAAACATCATTACTTGTGGGAAAAAGCTGATGCATGAGCATTAGGTCATTATAACTCTCCCTCGCATCCTCCTCTGCTTTTAGCTTTTAAAAAGACTTGAAATAACCTCAGCTTGATGTAAGTCTATTAGAGCCTCTCTTTGTAATACTTTGTGATATAAATTCAACATATCTAATTACCATATCGTTTTACCTCTTTTGACTGAGCATTTATTATTCCTGGTTTTACTTTAAGAGCCCCATTTTGCAATCACGGTGTTTCTTTTTGATTTATATTTTATTTTAGTTAAACTTTAGCAAGCACATGAGTAATTCCTACAATACTTTGTGATCGACTCAGCTATAAGGGGATAGATTTAATTTCCTAGTCCTGTTTAAACAAGGACGCATTATGTTGTTCGCCGCAGCCCGCTGGTCTCTGAGTATTTGTGTTTGCACTTTAAGTGTTGTATACTATGCGTGCATACAAATAAGGTGCTCTGCAGCCTTTAATTGAAGCATTTGCAAATACTCAATGAGTCTCTTGTGTTTTCCAGGCCATCTCCATGCTTCTTCCCTTGATCATGGAGGTGATGATCAGTCATTACGTGCCCCTAGTCTGGGGCCGTCTCCGTACTCTTCGCCTCTGCTGACGCCTCGGCTCGGACGCAGTAGCTCAAACGAGGCAGCCGAAGGTGACGGGGCGTCCCTCGCCACTCATCAGGCTCTCGGAAGCACAGAGACGCTCAAAAAGGGCGGAGGTGATGAGCAGCTCCTCAGCAGCTGTGAGTCTGCCAAGACGATATGTGAGGACAAAGACGCGGGCGAGGGAGCAACCCCGCGCACACCATCCATCAGTGTGGAGGAGGAGCGGGATGAGGCAGCAGAGGTCGACAGCCTGGCAGACGGGAGCGTTGGGGTGGCAGAGTCCGAGGACAGGTTCGAGTGGGTCATGGACGAGGCGCCACGCCGACCTGACAGCCTGAAAGGCATCCCATCCTTCCAGAGGAGCCACAGCAATCTTGCTAGTCTGGGTCTGGCCTTCCCAGCTACAAATGGCTCGCTGACAATCAGCCGGTGGCCCACAGCTGCTGACCGGAGCTCCATGCCTGAAGACTGGGAAAGTTACACCTACTCTCCTGGCTATGAGAGGGCTCACAGCAAGACTGAGTCCAATGACAGGTATGTAGTTCTCTTTAACATGGCAGCTTGATATACTGTGAATGAATAAATAAATAAAAAAACACTCGGGATGTTTTAAGCGCTCATTATCATAAGTAATTATGTTTATGCAGCCCATAACAAACTGTGGCCAAGCTGCAGTGAGCAACAGTTCATCTAAATCCACGTGCACGTGGGTTTAGCCCTGAATGTATCACCAGAAACGTCTCGCATCTGATAATGACCAGAGTCGGGATTTGCATAATCTTCATAAAGCATGTGCTCAGAGTAATAATCCCCAGCCAACTATGACAACGATTTGTACTTCCGTGATAGATTCAGCTTATTCCTCCTTGTCAGCTGCTAACTTAAGCTTATATTTTGTTTTGTTTTTTTTAATTGAAGGATCTTTGGGATTTTTCTGTCAGTGAGTGTCAGTGCAGGCACAGCGTGGGTTGCGAGCAATGCTGAAATGCTACTATGATGCTAATTTCGGTTTATGGATGTAACATATATTAAATTCAACACTCTGTCTGTACTTGACTTTCTTAGTGTTATTTGGTTGGTGTAGCCGTTCATGTGCAGTAACATTCGTCTTGGTGTGTTTCTTAGGTCCAGCACAGAGGATTGCCTGGTGCTGATCTGCTGTGGGCTCTATGATCTTCTGAGGGGCATCTTGCTGCTGTTGCCTGACCTCATGCTTGAGGAGGTGATGGACAAACTCATCCAGACAGAGGCCCTCATCGTCCTGGTCAATCACTCATCACCGCTCATCCAGCAAGGAGTCATGAAGGTTGGTTTCTCCTTAGAGAGTCTGATGTACTGTAAAGCAGAGGGGGGTCTGATTCTGCACCAGGAGTTCATTTTCATCCCAGTATCTTCTGCAAAATACTGTCACGAGCTGTAGGATGTGTGAGCTCATTGCCATTCCAACAAGCTGTAGTTACACATTAGTTTTGTATTTTATGCTTTGCAGCAAGCACTTTTTCCCCCGAGATACCTCACACTGAGCTTTTAGAAAGCTGGGAACAGCTTGGACAGGCTGAACACTACTTTTTCCCTTAATGCTTACAAATCCCATCAAAACTCCAAATCACAAATGTGTCACTGAATAGCCTTTTGTTTTACTTTTGTGTATTTTTAAGAATTTTATAAACTAGGTGGTTATTGCAGCTAAAAGGTTTGCACACTGAAACTTCACTACACATTTTCTTTTGTTAATCATAAATTACTTGTAAATAGTGGCTCTTCGGGAAAAACCTTGCATTCAGCCCACTATATTTTCCAACAATTAATCCAAATTTTTTTGTGCATATCCCTCCTAAATGCCAACACACATGTGGTTCCTGTGGAGCATAGGGGCAGTGCTACAACCCAATTGTCAGAGGTGAAAGGGTGCAACAGCTGTTAATAAAACAAACAGGAGGATTGTCGTAATACCACGGATGCCTCTATGAGGCTGAGGGATAACACTGGCGCTGTACTCCTCTGTACTGACAGGCGTAATTTATTCTGCTTCTCCCACCCAGCTGCTGGACGCCTATTTCACCAGAGCTCTTAAGGAGCAAAAGGAGAAGTTTCTGAAGAATCACGGTTTCTCACTGCTGGCCAACCAACTATACATCCACCAAGGCAGCCAGGGGCTCCTTGAATGCTTCTTGGAGATGCTGTTTGGACGGCCGGTGGGCCTGGAGGAAGAGTGAGTACATAACATCCACTGCACCACAGGCGCATGATTGCACATTAATATGTATAGAATTGTCTGCCGTATGAATAATGTTGGATGCAAACATATTCTTCATGTTGTGCCACATTGTTCTTTCTCGTGTTTCTCTTTAGTCTGGACCTGGAGGAAATGGAAAATCTCTCACCCTTCAGAAAGCGCTGTATCATCCCAGTGTTGGGTCTTATTGAGAACTCTCTGTATGAGAACTCTTTGGTGCACAACATCCTGTGTATGCTCCTGCAGCTCATCAATGCCTGCCCCAAGCTGGCAGACATCCTGCTAGACCACGGACTGCTCTACGTGCTCTTTAACACCCTGTCTACCCTCAATGGCATGGAGAACGGGTACGACTGCCAGAACAGGGAATGATTCATTCAGACATCTCCACGGGTTCATAGCACGTTTGTGTTGAACCTTTGAGCCAAGAATTAAATCATTAATCCTCTTATTGTTGGTTGATCTGGCACATGTGAGTGGTAGACTGACTTCCTGTGCTTCATATTTTCTTGTTTTCCTTGTCCTCCCTCTGTAGTATTCCCCTGAATGACTACAAACTCCTGGTGTGTGACATCCAGCAGATGCTTGTAGCTGTGACTATTCACTCCTGCAGCTCCTCTGGGTCCCAGTACTTCCGCATCATCGAAGACCTCATTACCTTACTGGGTTTCATGCAGACCAGCAAGATGCGTCGCACACAAGGTGAGAACCGTATTTCGATACACATGCAAAACACATCAGTCTTGTCACCTCCCATGCTCTGCAATCGTGGATGATATCAAGCTGTCAAGCTTGGCTACAGAAACAAATAGGGCTGTCACTTTATTATCTCCATCTGCAGAGTGGAAACTCATTTGAGAAATATCTCCCATTTTCATCTTCCCACCAAATGGTTTTCTCTCATTTTTCCCTTTTATTTGCTCTCTGAAAAATATCTCTCCCTCCTCTTCCCCATTAGCACTTATTTCCTCGCTATATTTATGATCTGATATTATCATTCTGTGATCACAGAAGCATTAGAATGGCATTATGAGTGTGTATCTTTTTATTTTTGGTTGTTTTTCATTTCAGATATTATATTCAAATGTTCAGATGTATTATTAACATTATGGGGCTCTGTGCAAAAAAACATTTTGTATTGTTGTTCTCAACTTCTCATAATTATTCCAAGTCTTAATTGTACAGCACTTTGCAGTTTGCTTATTTCAACTTAACGACTGTGTCCTTGTTAGTGAGGCGTGTGTGTTCATCACTAGTGTAATCAACACCATTAAATGCCGCATGAGGCTACCTGTGCTGCTCTGTCTGCAAGTCCTGTTGCCATTAATTTTAGTGTTGTCAGTATCAAAGAGCAGTAATTAATTGTAAAATTGACTAACCTGTCAGTTGACTGTAGCATGAAGAGCGTGACCTCGAGTCACTCATCAGAAGCAGGTTGGCTCTAACATGACACAAATCTTTCTCTTCCCAGAGATGGCTGTGGCTTTGCAGTTCCGTGTCCTTCAGTCGGCGATTGAGTTTATAAAAACGACCGCCAACCAGGAACCTCAGAAACTGAGCACTTCTGTTAACGCTCCAAGCTCTCCGCATCACGCCATCTATCAGAAACGCAAGAGCATCGCCGGTGAGTGTCTCAAACTGGCTCTGGCACTGTAGAAAGCTGCAGTCTGCTTCTGTGCTGCTGGAGGTAGAAATGTGTCTGTTTATTGATCGTCTCTTCATCCCGATCTGAAGGTTCCATTGCCATCAAAGACTCCATTATCCCCCGCATCCCCAGGCAGCACTACTGCTCCTATGGCCAGATCCCCTTGTCCCCTCCATTCAGCTTCCTGTCCCAGGACTCCCCCCTCCCTTCCCCCACTGGAGCTCCATCGTACATGCTCCACTGTGACGCAGGTAGCTGGGACTGCGGTCCACAGCGGAAAACATCCTCCCTGTCAAGGGGCATGTTTCCCTCTCATGCAGTGAACTCACCCTGTCCCCAGGACCTCACCTTGGGGGTTAATTTGCCCAGTACCCCAGTGTGTTACTGGTGCCTTCTCTGTGTGCATGTGAGTGTGTGAGAGATCAAATGCTTAACTTCGTCAGTGTTAAGCATTCCAGCACAGATGACTATTTGATTAGTGAATCCTAATAATTTTCTCTTTACCAAAAACACGTGTGCTTATCCTTTCTGAAAACTGGCTAATTATCCCAGACTACCAATTTTATAACCACATTCGAGCACTTATCAAGATTGTTCTTGTAGGTCGGCGCCGGTTCTCTCTGGCCCAGACTGACTCTCTGCTGATGCGAATGCGCTCTGTAGCCAGCGACGAGCTCAACCAAATGATGCAGAGGAGGATGAGCCAGGAAAACCCCATCCGTGCCAGTGAGACCGAGTTTGTCCAGCGGCTGCAGAGGCTTGTGGTTCTTGCCGTCAACAGACTCATTTACCACGGTACACAACCTGGTGTTTCTTTGAATGATCTGGTCTAAACCCTTCATGAACACTGCACGCTAATCCTGCTTCTGTTTTTTTGTTTTCCTTATTTTAGATGTGAGTCAAGATTTATTTGATCTGCTGAATATCCCAGAGTGCACAGACCAACAGCTCTTCACACCAGATCCAGCTGATCAACCGCACGAAGATGGTGGCTCCGCTTCTGTCCCGCACTCTCCAACTCCCTTCACTCTACCTCCTGCGAGCAAGAAGAGCTTCCAGAAGGACATCCTCCAGCTCATGATGGACGGGATCAAAGTCAGCCTGGTACGACAGCAGTACAGTTGAAGCTTTTTCATGCTTTAGAAGCTCTTATTTGTAAACCTATACTCTGAGCGTTGTAGCGTTTGATGGCTAACCTAGTGTTGCTACTATGCATCCGTAGGGGAGCACAGGTCGTGGCGGAGCCCCGCATCAGCAGTGGCGAAGGATCCTGTGGTCCTGTCGGGACACTTTTCGGGTCCAAATTGGCCGTTTGCTGGTGCACACACTCAGCCCTGCACTTCCTCTATCAGACAGGAAGGAGGCACTTCAGTTTGTGTTTGATCCCAAACATTTGGATATCCTCAAGGAGAGTCTCAGCCCTGGACTAGAGGTGAATGTGATTTGTCATGTTAACTCCCATGAATTAGACCCTAAAGTGAGATATTTCTGTTCATTTTAATCTATATAATGAGAGAAATTGCGGATTAGTTACAGAAAAAAACTCTTTAGCTTTAAAAGTTCAAAAATTGGTGTCTTTCCCTGTTCATCCCACTGCCAGACTTTACTGAAAGCTAGATGAAGCTCTGCTCCAATAGCCAGTGTCTGTGACTTACTTCAGACACAAATAAACTAAAATCTGCACTTTCTTTTCTCTCGCCGCTCTCAGCACGGACCAAAGTTGTCGCTGTACCTGTACGAGATGCTGCACGATCACAAGGATAACCTCACCAAAGAAGAGCAGAGCGCCGTGGGTGTATTCATGACCTCTCTCAAGCTTTGCGGTCATCGCTGCATCCCACCCAATGCTCCACACAAACAAGACTTGCTCAAGGCCATAAAAGAGGTACGTCCTACACGGTCATTGTCAAAGAGTCATTGTTAAAGGAAAGGGCAGCAGCTTCCAGGCTGCTTTAGTCTGACCTAATTCACCTGTTCCCTTCAGCTGTATGAAATATATTAACTTTAGTGCAAGCAAAAGTCTGTCTTTGATAAATGCTAAGCACAGCCTGTCAGGTTTTCTTATTATTCAGATAAATTTGTTTACCTGCAACAGGAAAAATTCAAGTATGAAGCAGAAGAGAAAACAAGTAAAGTAGCATGGGAAAAGAAAATGGCAAATGCTCAGAGGAAGTGAGTATAATTCTTTTCTTTCTTTTTTCTATTGTTAACAGAAAGAATCATATGTTAGTTTGTTTTATTTCGTTCGCTCACTCTTTTTATTTTTCCTCTGCAGTCTTATCCAGAGGCTGGATGGAAAGTCAAAGGATATATCCAAGATTGCAGCCGATATCACTCAGACTGTGTCCCTCCGGCAAGGCATGGAGAGAAAGAAAGTCATCCAGCACATCAGGGGCCTCTACAAGACTGACCTGAGTGCCAGCCGCCACTGGCAGGAGCTGGTGCAGCAGCTCACACACGACCGGTAGGAGTTGTTCATGATCTACATTACTGCTCATGTCATCCTCGCTGTGGCTGCTTGTTTGTTGGTTTTGGTTAAAGTGCGAATAAAACAAATCAAATACTTCCCTTTCAGACCTGCAAAGCTTTCTTTTGTACTGATGTAAGGTTTTGAGTGTGCTGTTTTAGTTTCTTTTTCTTTATTTTTTTTCCTCCAGTGCGGTTTGGTACGATCCCACATCCTACCCAACTTCCTGGCAGCTGGACCCCACCGAAGGGCCGAACCGTGAGCGACGGCGGCTACAGAGATGCTACCTCACCATCCCCAACAAATACCTGCTCAAAGACAGACGCAAGCCTGAAGGTGGGAGGAAAAAATGCTCTTTGGCTAAATTTTGTGTCGCACTGGTGTCTCCCAAATCTCATATTTCTTTCTTCTTCTTCTTTTTTTTTTTATAGAAACTGTGAAGCCACCGCTGTCCTTCCTGTTTGAGGATAAGACTCACTCCTCCTTCTCCTCCACTGTTAAAGACAAAGCCACCAGTGAATCCATCAGGTATAACATCCTGCTTCTTTCTTCCTGTAACCCTTTAAGTGAACATGTCATGTCAGGTTGTAAGAAAAACGTCATTCTTTTGTCCTTAGGTTCACCAGACGTTGCATCAGCGTTGCCCCTTCCAGAGAAACAGCAGGGGAGCTTCTTCTGGGTGAGACACCGGCCACTGTTTAAACAGAGCTCCATAATCTGCTCTCTCTGAGGCACCGCGGAGTATTGCTCCTCCATCACACACAAGCATTTGCTATTTATTCAGTAAAGGAAGCGTTTGTTTGTCTTGCGTTCAAATCTCACTCTCACCCTGTGCTGTCTCACAGGAAAGTGTGGGATGTACTTTGTGGAGGACAACGCTGCTGACGCTCATGACAACCAGGTAAAGCCAGAGCACCGTTCAGGCGTGTTCCCTGCCAGAGGAATGACAATAATTTCTGCAATAATTTCCGCCTGGCTACTCAACACCGAACATGTTTGTGTGTCTGAGCAGAGCCTGCACGGGGAGACCGAGGCACCTTCTTTCTCCTGGACGTACGAGGAGATCAAGGAGGTGCACAAGCGATGGTGGCAGCTAAGAGACAACGCTGTGGAGATATTCCTCACCAACGGCAGGACGCTGCTGTTGGCCTTTGACAACTCCAAGGTGAGTGGAGTCAGAGGGGCTTTTAAATAAAAGACACCGGATCGGTTGGGGAAGGTTTGGTTAATGCTCATGATTAATAAACAGTAGATCTTGTAAGTTGTTTACTTTAGCTGTTCAACATAACTATTGCAGAGCGCTGACTGGACTAGACTACCCAGCAGATTACAGGAGGAAATATTCCAGTCTGTGTTTCATCTGAGTATAAAATGTAACCGCACAGGATGGACTGTGATTAAAAATGATAAAACAAAGAAGCATAGTGATGGTCAAAGAGAAAGATTGGACAAAATCACAGTTTCAGAAGAAGAAAAAATAAATGCTGTGGGAGTTAATTGTTGAATTGCCTTTTTGGTATTCTGCTCTTGAAACCTCTGGCTCTGTAGTGCTCCGTGCGAGAAATCGATCTTGACAATAAGCCATGATAATAAGATTCAGTAGCATCGCACTCTGCTGTGAAAATATATCGTTATTTTGCAGTGGCTTAAAGCGATACACTGAGAGAAAGTTACAATATGGTCAGACAGATGGCTTATTGCTCATGCTTTTAATTCAGAAAAATCAAAGGGCGTGCCGACCTACTGAGCCACACGAAAGCCAAACAGATAATGTTTGCAGACTTCTGAAAACCTTTCTCTCAATAAGGCAGGAAGAAAAGTTTTCCATTTCTCCTTTGTATTTATTTCAAGTTCAGAAGGATATGGAATTTTTAAAGTGTAAATGTTTGCATGCTTGACCTAATGTGATGTCAGTGGATCAGGATTATAGTCGGGAGATCATCGTAATTCAACATCATTACGATAATATAAGCCTCACAGAGCTACTAATGGTTTGAAGCCTTTTAATTGTAAAGATCGTTATGTTCTATCATAGTTGTTGCAGAATCTGAAGCTCGGTTTGCTGGAGAAGCTTTAGAATGAATGAAACTAAAACTAAAGAGTAATTTAATTGTTTTATGTGGATTAGCCATTAAATATTTTTAAATTAAAGTTCATCTTTCATGTTACATTTGCAAGTTAGCACCATGTTTCAGTCAAGTCTCTAAACTACCTCTGGAAATGATCTCGTGGTGTCTCTGCTCTGGCCTCAGTTCCGAGATGACGTCTACCACAACATACTGACCTCCGATCTTCCCAACCTGCTGGAGCACGGAAACATCACGGCGCTCACGCAGCTTTGGGGCTCGGGTCAGATCTCCAACTTCGAGTACCTCACGCATCTCAACAAGCACGCCGGCCGCTCCTTCAACGACCTCATGCAGTACCCGGTGTTCCCCTTTATCCTGCGAGATTACACCAACGAGACTCTCGACCTGCAGGACCCAAACATCTACAGGTCCGTGCTGGATGACGAATCTTTTCCCGAGTTGACATTGACACAAAAGCTAATTTAAAGCCTCCCGTTTAAAGCTTTTCTATTAAAGTATTATGAATCCAGACAAACATTGAACTGTTGTTATATTTTTTTGAGAAAAACTGAAAGGGAACTGGCGTCTCTTTGAAGTCAACGCTTCTGTCGCTGATGATGTCATCGCTCAACAATTGTTTGCTTTCGTATTTTAACGCAGGAACTTGAGCAAACCCATCGCCGTCCAGTCCAAAGAGAAAGAGGATCGCTACGTGGATAATTACAGGGTAAGTCCTCGTGTCTGGTTCAACACGTGCTACTCGAGCATTTTGCATATTCCATAAATAAAAACACACTGACGTGTTCCTCGTGCAGTACCTGGAGGAGGAGTACAAGAAGGGCATCCGTGAGGACGACCCCATGCCTCCCGTCCAGCCTTACCACTACGGCTCCCACTACTCCAACAGCGGCACTGTGCTGCACTTCCTGGTTCGAATGCCTCCTTTCACAAAGATGTTTCTCGCCTATCAGGGTAAGTCGCAACATTAAGCCTCCTTCAGAATACAAGAAGAAAATCTTATGGTTATGGTTAATTGTTTTGGGCCTCTAATAAATGAATGATGCTATACTTATACTGACCAAACAGTATGTTTTGTTTTTTTTATGTGAAGCCTGAATCTGGCACGGTGCTCTCAGATCTAACATAGGATTGCAGTGTCTGTGTTATTGCTTCATGAAAGCCTGCTTCATCTTTACACTCTTCTCTGATCAGCTCCTCACCCTTCCCCTTCCTCGCTTCTTTCTCTTTAATTTATTTTGCATTCATCTGATCCTCCGAGGCATCTTTTTATGTGATTTGTAAATGTATTCAGCGAGCGTGGTGTTTAAGGTCATGAAAGATGTTTTCAATCAGTGAGTCGAATTTGTAATTAGACTGTCTCCGGCCTTAATCAGACCAGAGCTTTGATATCCCGGACCGGACGTTTCACTCCATGAACACTACGTGGCGTCTGTCCTCTTACGAGTCAATGACTGACGTCAAAGAGCTCATCCCAGAGTTTTTCTACCTCCCAGAATTCCTGGTTAACAGAGAAGGTAATTAGTTTTCCTTTCCTATTTTTAGCTTTTGTGCGTTCATCTTTCATCTTCTCAGAATTTCCTCTTTTTTTTTTGTTTTTTCTTTGCCTGGATAGGTTTTGATTTCGGGGTTCGTCAGAATGGCGAGAGGGTGAATCATGTGAATTTACCGCCGTGGGCTCGCAACGACCCACGTCTGTTCATCCTCATCCACCGACAAGCACTAGAGTCTGATCAGGTCTCCCAGACGCTGTGTCAGTGGATCGATCTGGTGTTCGGGCTCAAGCAGAAAGGCAAAGCAGCGGTCCAGGCCATCAATGTCTTCCACCCAGCTGTACGTAGCTGCTGACGCTCGCATTTCCTCGACGTTAGTGTAAAAAAATAAATAATAAACCTTTGTCGCTCAGACACCAGTTTCATGTCACTCTTTACAGACCTATTTTGGCATGGATGTTTCGGCTGTAGAAGACCCTGTTCAGCGACGGGCCCTGGAGACGATGATCAAGACATACGGACAGACGCCCAGGCAGCTCTTTAACACCTCTCACATCAGCAGGACAAGCACCAAACTCATGGAGGGGGAGCTGCCAGCAGCCATGGGCCTCCTGGTCCAGCTGGCCTTCAGAGAAAGCAGAGAACCAGCCAAGGAAATAGTCTGCCCGGTAATCAACTCTGTGGTGTTTGTGACTCTGGCAGCCTGCTGTGCGCTGAGCAAGACATGACTTAATTCACCACCCGTGAAATGATCTGCTCCTCACCTAGCAATTTTCTCTTCCTCTCCCCAGAGTCCGCTGCCGTGGATCAAAGGTCTGAAGTGGGGCGAGTATGTGGGCTCACCTTCCGCTCCGGACCCAGTGGTGTGTTTCAGTCAGCCGCACGGGGAAAGGTTCGGATCCCTGCTGGCTCTGCCGACGCGAGCCATCTGCGGCCTCTCCAGCAAGTTCTGCCTCATGATGATTTACAGCAAGGAGCAGGGTAGGAAGCCCAAAGACTCATTCCAGACAGTATTGCACAAGTGCCCCGCTGACTCGCATTAAATTTTTCTTCTCTGCTCTGCAGGTGTGCGGAGCATGCACAGCACAGACATCCAGTGGTCAGCCATCTTAAGCTGGGGCTACGCGGACAACATATTGAGGCTGAAGAGCAAGCAGAGCGAGCCACCTATCAACTTCATTCAGTGTTCACAGCTTCACCAGGTACGCATCAGTTTATGCTTCGACAAATCCTGACCACCTGTTATATAAGAGTTATCTGGCTTTTGGTGTGCGCTCCTCCATCCAACCGTCCGTCTCCCTCTCCTCCAGGTGACCAGCTGCGCCTGGGTGCCCGATGGCTGCCAGCTATTTACGGGTAGCAAGTGTGGAGTCATCACCGCCTACAGCAACCGCTTCACCAGCACCACGGTGCGTTTCCATGGCAACGTCCCCCTCTAACCTTCCGCCTGCACACGAACACCCAAACCGCCCACCCACCGCCGATTACC